TGGTTCTCTAGAGTCACTATTGAATCTAGAACAGAGACATGAGATGGTCACAGCCATCAGTGTAGAAATATTCCCAGGAGTTCTGCAGACTGAGCAGAAGTACATAGGAAAATGGAGAGAAGCGATCGAGACGGAAATGAACATCAGATACAGTGAGACTTATTGTAGACCATCAGGAGCACGATATTTGGTGGGTTCGACATTGGCTCCAATGTGCAAGAGCAGATACCCGGTACACTTCGTAGCCGTGGATGTAAAGAGTACGAGAACGATCGTGGATCAAGCCTTCTCAGTGCCGAAGTGTGTGAGACTGGCGAGAATGTCCGAGAAATCTTACGAGTTGCTATGTAAGATGTTCTCAGCAGTTCCAGAGAGAACCAAGGAAGAGTTGGAATCAATACTAGGAAAGAAGTTCATGGGATACGTGAGCGGGAACTTCAGTGACTTTGAGAGACAGAAACAGAGAGGATCAACTGTCACATATTACAATACAGTAGACGAGAATGATGAAGTCCACCGAGTGATGATGGAAGTGGAACCATTACTGGAAGCTTCGGGAAAACGTAATTGGAGGAGCATCATGTTGACACATGACGAGTTTCCCTGCCACTGCTTGCTGCAGACCTGGTGGTATCCCAAGCGTAGTAATCTGGTGTTGATCTGGGACTCTGGAGAGCTGCTCTGCATGGGTTTACCAGACTCATCACAGCCCATAACAATAGTGATAGTGGGAGTTATGATGTTGATATGATGGCTGGAAGCTCACGTAAGAGAGAACTATAGACAGGAAGCGCCGACGAGAGAACAATTGCGGAAATTAGATTGTCTAAAAGATTTAGATCTTTTTGAGACAATGTGCAAAATTCTAAACATTCCGATGGAAGTGAAGAAGATATGGGCAAGAAAACGATTGATGCCATGGTTCAGAGCTAACATGACTGCATGGTTGTACGAATATGCTAAAAAGCATATGTCGAAGCACGGCAGAGTGTACAGTGAATATCATCTGGACATTGGAGCAGGAGCTTCCAAGCGAGCACTCGTGACTCATCGGAATACAGTGTCCACCGCTGTGAAAAGAATTTCCAGGACAAGTGAACGTAGTGGAAAAGAGAATTCAGAGATGTTGAAGTAAGATTTGGAGAGAAATGTGACGTTGTGTCTCCACGACAGCTTCTGCACGAACATAGAATCTAACGTGGATTTCCTACCTTGTTGCAAACAGAGGGTAGAAGAGCAGAAGTGTTGGAGGACGGCTTCCAACTGCGTCAGGATAGCTAGTGACGTGTTGCAGGATACAGAAACTGAGAGTGCAGAGTCAGTGTCACAGGAGGAGGAAATGGAACATTGACGAATGGCCGAAAAACGAGATGCAAAAAGAGACGAAATTAGAAGAATTTAGAAGTTTTAGAACTTCTAAACGACGAAAAAAGAAGAAAACAAAGGAGTGATGAAGAAAAAGTTAAAACGCAGAATTGTTTTCTGTGTGTGAAAAAACTCAAGTGAGAAACTAAGCAACCAAGTTGTAATTGAAAACTGAAACATTTAGTTGAGTTTTGAAATTGTTGCATTTATAAATTTGCACTTTGATTTTAGTTAAGTGGCTTTAGAGACACTTACTTACTATTTATTTAGAAAGGCTTGAGTGAAAGAGTATATTTAAATATTCCAGCCTGCATGATTGTTTTTAATCAGCTAGGAGAACTGATCACTTTTGTGGTGACATGAAAGGCTTGGGTAATCTCTCGCAGAGGGAGATTGTTTCATTGTTCTTTCTAACCACAGAGTTTCTTAGTTTTAATATTCAGGACAATAACAAGCGAGATTTCCGAAGGGAAGAAGCATAGTAGGATAATTTTAGCTTGTTGGTTGGCAGGACTGTCCTGCAAACCAACATCTTTTAAATCTAGGAGAAAAGTTTTAATCAGGACGTTGAAACTGGAAGTCGGAAAATATGTTTTTATCTTAGGTCATATCCTCAATGTGCAGATTAATGAAAGAATTTGAAGGCTATAGTGATGTAGTAAGATGCCATTTATACTCTGCAGTGAGTCAATGTGACGTGGATTAAAGTAATTTCGTGCATTTTGTAAATTCTGTTCGATGACACTGTATCTATTTTACGAACATTGCGAGATTAAATGAGGACATTGACCGGATTGTCCGGGGAGTATGTGACATTCGACCAGAATAGATCAAAATGCAGATTCAGCATATTCGAAATTGTAGCAGTGAACCTTCCGAATGGGCGATTTTGAGGGAATAAGAGCGTTATTGGAACGATTGGCCAAACGGTGAGGGCTAGAATATTCTGGTATTTTAAAATTTTAAAAATTCGATTTATGACGTCATATTTCTGAGAAACGTCAGAAACGGCCATTTTGGCAGAAAAGTCGAAGAAGGACACAACAACGATAGTTGCGACGACGACAACAACGAGAAAATTGAGAATCGGAATCAGAGAAAAGCAGAAGTAGCAGAGACCGCTCCAAGTTGCAACTATTGTGTCGCTACAATAGTTGCAAGGCAGTTGCTAACAACAGTGAGGGGTGGAAACCAGCCTTCCGGGTTACAGAGAAATCAAGCTTAACGTGCTTGATTCAGTGGAATCGAGAATCAAGAAGGGTTTCGGGACTGAAACTTTTATCATTTTATATGAACTTTTAGCTTCCCTGTCATGTCCTGATTTAAATTTAACTAACATCTGAATTCATTCTACTAAGATGAGAAGCTAGGAGTTGGGGGAAAGGGTTGATCCATCTTCGATGGAGATGATGATTTTTATCTACTGAACAAAAACAATAATAATTCAATAAGTAGTAATAGCCCTGTTTTTAGGAGTGACCATGTGGTCTGGGGATACTGAGACCCAGCCATGAGCTCACTATTTCAGCGTATAATTAAATTAATTTGAGTGTTTTGACCGAAGCCGAAAGCAGTAACGTTTTTTGTCGACCCGATGTTAGAAAGACCACCGAAAGTACTGGCTTGGTAGAGACGGTGAAAAGCATGCAAAGCTCTGTTTAGACGTTAGCCAGTCGTCTTAGGACTTAGTTTTGTTATCCGTCGATATGTATCTTCCGGGCGAATGTTACATAAGTTAATTTGAGTGTTTTGACCGAAGCCGAAAGCAGTAACGTTTTCGTCGACCCGATGTTAGAAAGACCACCGAAAGTACTGGCTTGGTAGAGACGGTTAAAAGCATGTAAAGCTCTGTTTAGACGTTGGCCAGTCGTCTTAGGATTTAGTTTTATTTTCCGTCGATATGTATCTTCCGGGCGAATGTTACATGATGTAGTATGATGCCATTTATATTCTGCAGTGAGTCGATATGACGCGGATAAGAGTAATTTCGTGCATTTTGTAAATTCTGTTCGATGACACTGTACCAATTTTACGAACATTGCTAGATTCAATGAGGACATTGACCGGACTGTCTGTGGAGTATTTGACATTCGACCAGAATGCACCAAAATGCAGATGCAACAGATTCGAAATTTTAGCAGCTAACCTTCCGAATCGACGGTTTTAAGAGATTAACAACATTATTGGGACGATTAGTCAAACGGTGAAGGCTAGAATCTTCTGGTGTTTCAAATTTTCAAATTTTCGAAGTATGACGTCATATTTCTGAGAAACGTCAGAAATGACCATTTTGGCAGAAAACCGAAATAAAACACAACAACATTAGTTGCGATAGCGATAACGACGAAAATTGTGATTGGAAAACAACAACAAATTGCAGAAGTAGCAGAGACCGTTCCGAGTTGCAACTATTGTGTCGCTACAATAGTTGCAAGGCCGTTGCGAACAACGGTGAAGCGTGGAAGACAGCCTTCCGGGAGGAAGATAAAGGTCTTATTGCCCCGGATTCGAGAATCCGGAGGGGTCTCGGGACTGGAACTTTTATCATCTTATACAAACTTTTAGCTTCCCTATTATGTCCTGAATTGAATTTAATTAACATCTGAATTCATTTTGCTAGGATGAGAAGCTAGGAGTTGGGGGCAAGGGTTGATCCATCTTCGATGGAGATGATGATTTTTATCTACTTAACAAAAACAATAATAATTCAATTAATAGTAGTAGCCCTGATTTTAGGAGTGACCTCGTGGTCTGGGGATACTGAGACCCAGCCATGAGCTCACTATTTCTGCATGTAATCTAGTTAATTTGAGTGTTTTGACCGAAGCCGAAAGCAGTAACGTTTTGTCGACCCGATGTTAGAAAGACCACCGAAAGTACTGGCTTGGTAGAGACGGTGAAAAGCATGTAGAGCTCTGTTTAGACGTTAGCCAGTCGTCTTAGGACCTAGTTTTTTTTCCGTCGATATGTATCTTCCGGGCGAATGTTACATAGTCGCGGGCCATAGCACTTGGATTGTTCCAAGTAAGCTCTGTAAGAACTCGACCACATTGACCGAGGAAACCAGGGTAGGTAGTTGTCTGAAATGTGATGTCCCTCGAGATACAAGTTAACAATGCTGCCTGTGTACTCAGCATTATTTATGATAAAACATTTTTCAAAGAATTTTTTATTTGAAGAAACAAGGGAACGTAAGCGCAGCCTGATATATGTATCTGATAGACCCGTTGCCCCATATCAAGTCAATCTTTTTGAGTCTTTTCCAACTCCGGTTTGTTCTGGGCAGGTGTTATCGTTCTCAATCTGGTTTATTTGATGTATAACCATCTCGACTTAACTTCCTTCGCGTTACACTTTAATTTTCGCTAATTGGTAATTGTTTAAGGAGTTTTGACTGGATGAAGTGACGAGGGACAAGAGTTGTACTTTTTTGTTACCATGATAATTTTTGGTAAACTTTTTTCGGACCCCTTAAAAAAGAGACCTTCTTGATCAGATGAAGTGAAATGATTCTTTTGTTTTGTCGTGCTATCTCTTTGATAATATACTATTAAAAGTTTTAGAAGTACCAATCATCACGAGTTCAAATGTTTTGATTGCCAAAAGCGAAGTGGCCTAATTTGATTTTGATTCAGGTGCTTTGAATGTTAATCATAAGAGAATATAGCTGATATTAAAGAAATGGAGATTTCGTCGAATTACAACGAAGAGGCCAATCTGTTGTCAACAGATTCGAAGTTCAGATCATATGCCTCAAGCATGGATAAGGCTCTAAAAGCTTTTGAGGGCAGCGGAGAGTGGGCCGATTTGATTAACTCATTGGCTAAAATGCAAAAGGTAGTGTTTTCGGACTGCGTATCCGTTCATCAATCTGGTCAAGAATCTGAATGAGTATACTTGTTTTTAGGTGCTCCAAAGTTACTCAGGAAAATATACTATCATACCGAGAAAATCTTTGGTTGCCAAGAGGCTTGCTCAAGTCCTACACCCTGCTTTGCCGTCAGGCGTGCATCTCAAGGCTCTGGAAATATACCATATAATTTTCGATGTAATAGGTGAGTATTCCAGCTGAGTTTTAAAAATTGCCTTGTGTAATTAATTACGCAAATTGCTGCCTCTTACTTGTTGTTGCATTAAAATTTAGTGCCTCGCATTGAGTTAGTTTGTCTCGACAACTTTTGAATAATTTGAGCAGTCACAATTGGAGGCAAGATTTACAACCTCTGATATTTTTTTCGGAAAGTACCTTGACGGCACTCCACTATAGCGCTGGGTATTTCAAAATTTATGTTGAAGTTTTGTTGAAGATTTTATGTTGAAGAAAATTTTATGTTGAAGATTTATGTATTTTGTATGTATGTCATTTTATAAGACCGCGGGTATTCCGGTTTTCATATTTGGATGCCGAGTTTGCAACCACTGAGAGAACCCTGGCAGCTCCTCAGTATAGGGTTTGCTGTTTTTACAAAATTTTGTTGAACCACTGAAACGAAAAAGTTGAAGATTTGCGTTACGAAACTATGGAAAATGTTGAGTTGAAGTTTCGCTCTCCAAGAGATCCACCCTTTGATGCTGGCCGCATCGCTACAGCCTTACATTCTGGCCTCATAATTGGTCTAGCATTCATAAATTGGAAAATGTATAAATTTCTCAAGCAGTGCAATACACGATATAGCTTAAACAAGTAAAAATTCTTTCGTTAAACATGCAAAAAAATTCGTCGAAAAAGCTTAAACATTGAAGATAGCAAAGCCCGCATTCAATTATATAATAGATTCCATAATTGAAAAAATTAATATATATTGGATGTTGCCAATTTCAACTTGTTACCAATTTTTAGTCAACTTGTTGCCAATTGGATTTTGCCAAGTATTTCGCTAGAGCATGTGTACTTGTAATCGGGAATTACATTTTTTTAAGAACTTTTCTTATAAATCTGTTGGAAATTGAGCAGGTTCTTTCCGTCTTGGCCCAGTAGTAAAGCACGAGCCTTGGTATTCTTAGTATAAATTATGGGTTTAGTTTTTTCTATGTGCTTGGAGTTTGATTTTTTTGGGAAAACTTGAATAAGCGGACTTTTGTTAGTCTTCTTATTTTGTATCGGCTTATTTTTCAAAGCATGGACTTTTATTCTGATTATAAGCAGTTTGTTACCCTTTTACAGGGTTGCAATGTTTAAAACATGTCTTGTTTAAAACACGTTTAAGTTGAGTGTTTAAAACTCAGAATAATTTATTGTTTAAAACAACTCCCCCTGATTGGCAGCTTTTCTTATGTGCTTTCACTAACTGAACTGTTTTCGTGGAAAAATCTCTTCGATTGATTTGGTGAACGAGGTATCGAACGAGGCGAATGGCTCGAAAGGGACGTGAAACGGTAAATTTCTTCTATTCTTGATTTGTTCCGTTTGTTTTTGTATCCGATTTTTTCGGAGTCGATCCTACTGAAAATGAAATGAAAAAGCACTCAACTTGGAAAAGTACGGTGCACAGACTGCATATACTTTCATAGTTTTTGTTTAAAACGTGTTTTAAAATGTTTAAAACGTGTTTTTTTTAACTCGAAATATATATTTCTTGCAACCCTGCTGTCATCCGGCCTGGATCGACAAACTAACCTTATATGTGTGTTATTTATTTTATTAATAATCTTATGCTAAACGCCTAGACGGCCGGTCACTTGACCTTGATAGACAGAGAAGACGAACTCTATTTGAAATAAAAAACAGAGTTGAATTAATGTTATCTGTCAACTAGTCGTTTTATATCGCTCCGACTGAGAAATAAGGTTTATCGATCCATTCGGATTCAAGGATTAGAATATCATACCCTTCAGTATGACATGGCGCAGCCAGCAGGATATTCCAAAAACCCACTGAATATTAACCCATTTTGGGAGAGAGCGTCTGCCGAACCACCACTAGAATGGTCAAAGTGGGCAGCCATATTGGAGATGGCTGTATTCGCAAAGGATGGGATCGAAATACGGAATTTATTGAGAGCCAGACCAACACTCGTCGAACCCGCTGAACCTGTGTATGAACTTGAAATACAGGGCGAAACAGAAGCACAAAGAAAAAACCGCGAGGTGCGCAATCAAGAGAAACGAGTTGGTTGGGAGAATCACGTCATAAAAGCCCGGGAGAAAGGAGTATTATGCAATTCGTACAGATGGGACGAAGCAGACGCAAGAGTCCGGAGTTACCTCTTTCTCTGTCTGGGAGCCGAAGGTCAAAGACAAGTTCAACAGAAAAGACCTAACCTTGTATTACACAATGTAACCACACAAGAATTTATGACAACTGGAAGATATCTTTGTTATTAACAGAATTGTAGCATTCGAGAGATATAATTTTATTTGCCGTAAACTAAAGAAGTCGGAAAGTCTGGAACAATTTCATGCAGATCTAGTCGAATTAGCCTCACGGGCTGATTGCGGGGACAGAGAAGATGAATGGGTTAGAGACATGTTTACAGCACACATGTACAAAAACCGCGGAAGAACTTAGCACAAACACGGACCCCACAAGACGCATACGAGTATGCAATTCGTCGAGAAAAAGGAATTGAACATAGTCGTACTATGAAGATAAACCCATTTGGGGGACAAACTACAACAAAGCTAGAACCAGTACATTATATAAACACTCGGGGTGGTCGATATAACTCTTCGAATAACCAAAACTCACAAAGAGGTCGGGGTGGTTTCCGCTGTCGACCATGTCCGAGCGGATCATAAAACACAAGAGGGCAACAAAGACTTTTATTGTCATTCTGTGTATTGTATTGTTCCCTGTTTTATTTTTTTTGCTCAAGTACTTTCAGCTGATGTTTTTAAACTGAACATCATTCCAGAGAAACGTATGTAATTTTTTTAGATGGGCTTTTTCAACATTGGGTTTTTTCGACATGGGCTATCACGTCAAAATTGATCTTTTGCGGTTTGATTTTTTGATTTGATTTCAAGTTCAATTCAAGTTTATTTGCTAAAAGTAAGGCAAATCATGCTGTCTAATGAAGAAACCGAAAATGGTACGAAAACAACGTGAATGACTTTTAAGTTCGAAAGTGGATTTTTTACTTTAGTTTTCTCAGCGGATAAAACATTTATCCATTGATCAGTGTTTTTTTTTCTAATTGGGCTCATCGTAAAAGTTTCATCATAGAATATTTCTGAAGTTCAGAGCTCTTCAGCGTGGTTTGTAAGTCGTGAGAATCTGGTCGGAATATTCTTGGTATTCAGACTCGACTCTAATTTACCGTTACGGCAAACGAATTTGAAATTGAATTTTTTTAACGTCTATTGTGTTCCGAACATTCCGTGATCTGTTTAAAGCAATCAAGTGTTCGAGTTACGCTCTACTTATACGCTCTTCTTAGAAATTGTTTATTGAATCAGCCTGAAAGATATCGAGGAGATTTTTATGCACGCAACATGATCATTTGTCCAAGCCATCTATAGACGAAAGATTACTGCACAATTTATGCTTGAAGCTAAATTTCTAAAGTTTGATGATGTTAGTTTTTTGAATGCTTAGTTCACCTTAAAAATTTGTGCTTGTTATAATTTTTAAGCATAAAAAATGTTCTCTTCTATAAAAAGCTTAGAATTTCTGATCACAATTATCTTGTCAAAAGTCATAGTGAAAAGCTAAAAGTATCCTCTCAGAATGAAGTTTCTTTTCATCTACCCGTTGTTTAAGAGAAATGAACGTAGTGAGTACTCTTATCTAGATCTTGCTGGTTTTTTTTTGTTTTTTTTTCAAGAAAATGTAAAAATTTTTCACGCTCAATTTTGATTTTTCGCGGTTTGACTTTTGATTTCTTTTTAAGTTCAGTGCATTTCCATTGTTAAAAGGAAGGCAAACTTCACTGTCGAACAGTAAAAAGGTAAAGGTTACGAAAAGCGTGAACGACGTCTAATTTCAAAAATGGAAATTAATTATCAGATTTCCCAGTGAAATAAAAGTTCTACCTATTGATCCAGTTTTCTCAAATTGGGTTAAATTTAACAAATAAGTGTTCATCATAAATTGTACTGCAAATTCAAAGCAATTTATGGCCATTTACTTCTTCGAAATTCAAAAGATGAAGATTTTTGAAAAAAAAGTCAGTTTGGAGAAAATTGGCGTATGTTCAATAAACCGCCATGTCTACAAACCACCATTTCTTGGAGCCGAAATTACATCAAGATAACGTGAATTACATCACAATTACGTAACAATTGCATAACATTAGTCTCAATCTGTTCTAATGATGCATAACATAACACTATTAATTTTTGGCTTGTTGGAATGGTAATTTTTTTTCCGGCTCTTCGGCTTGCTGGCCTACCACCAAATACTTGCTTTTGCCAGAGCAAGTGTGCGGTAACCGGACTAATTCTGCAATCGGGTACTAGACTTTTCTCCGCGTAAGCCTCTTTGTTCACAAGACTCATCTCTAGTGTACTTCCGGACTCATATCTGGTGGAACCTTCTGAGCATTCCCGGCTCACTTTAAATTCTTAGCGTTCCAGGCCCACCTAGCCTGGACGTGACAATTTCGCCTGGTACGGCAAAGGTCCTGGGTTCGAATCTGACCCGGAATTGTTTCTTTTTGAAACGGGAAAGATTCCGTTTCAAAAAAGTTGTCGGCTCATTATTTGTCTGATTATGTCTTGTCGGCCTAGTTGCCTTATAGTAGAATTGGTTTTTCTTGCTATGCTATTGCTATGTGGTTGCTCTCAGTGTTTTGATTTACGTCTGCTGTATGTAATTTCATGAATATTCTTTTTTTTTGCTAGATTTTTTTCAGTCCACGTGATTTCGGCTCTTTTATTGGCTTAAGATCATAAATTTGAGTTGCTCAAGGGAAATGTAGTTTTTATGCTTACCTCTGGGTCGCACAGTTTGCTAAATTATTATTCGAAATAGTTTTTTTTACGACCGATTTTTTTTCGTCACTTTTGTTTTTCCTTTTTTGGGCTTAGTTGGTTTCGGCCTGTTTTTGTATCGATTTAATATCCTGATATTGCGTCTTTCTACCAGAGAAAAAATTCTGTGCGTGTTTGTGTTTTGAGGCTGAGAGAGACTTAATAATTTTTTAGTATTCACACAATCTTTCGACTTTATTTTTGGCTTTTTTCATTTTTTTCGTCCTTATTAGTTTCGGCTTTTATTATATCACTTTAGTGGCCTCATATTGGTTCATTTGACGAGCAATTAGAAATTTTAGTTTGTATCTTTTGAGGGCGAGGGGGGAACTTGTTAACTTTTTATAAGTCTCAAGTCTCGTTGATTCTTTTTGATGCTAACTTCGCATTTTATTGCCTTGTATAATTGTTGTATCGCGATTTTAACACAGAATATTTCATTACAAATGGCATTTTAGCTTGAAGGTCTCATGGATCTATAGCGTAGAGGTAGTGAAGAAGACCGGCAACAAAATAAAAGGGTTCGAACCTAGGCAAGGTCGGATGTTTTCAATGAACTTTTTCGTAAACTAGTTAAAATGCGTCCGCTCTATAAAGTGGTAATTTTTTTTCAGTTGGTAAATTTCTTCTTTTTTTTTCAAATTGACTGGTACTGCTAATGCGTCATAATTGGCGTCACTTAGCAATTATGTAGACTCATAATTGGCGTGCGTCACGTAAGAATTTTTTCTAGACCCAAAGTTTGTACTAATTCATTTTTTCCCAGTAACGTTATCGGTCATACTTTTTGCTTGTGTATGCGAATTGCAACTTCACCTCTGTGTATAAATTTAGTTTGGTTTTGTTATACTGGATAAATGGATCAGCTGTAAAATTCCGCTCCCCTCAAATTGATTTTGGGTGGTGAAAATATAGATGTGTCATAAACTAGCATTGAGTGTAGCCTAGATTCGTTGACCAGAATTGAGCGTATTACTAAAGAAAAATGAATTAAAACTAACGAATTAAAACGAAAAATGAAATCAATTTTTGTAATTAGTAGCATATGAAATGAATATTTTATACAGAATTATTTTGCAGAATTAACACATAATTGGCGAGGGCATTCTACGGTAGGTCATTCTACGGGGGGGGGGGGCAATTGTATGAAACCGTAACCGTTCGTGTGAGAGCCTGATGGAATAAGGTCAAGTTGTTCTGAGTCGTTATTTTTTCTGTGTCTGAAAACTATCAAATAATCCAGCGAATCTCTTCTGCATAAGCCGCTATGACCAATTTATTTTAAACGAAAAGCTATGATTGGCGAAAATTTCAATTTTCTGAATTGTTACCGTTTTTTGGACTTCTGCCTCCAAGCAAGTCGAAGTTTTGAAACCTTGACAATTTTTGTGAAAGTTTTTACTCTACTCGAAAATTACTGTGCCAATTCTCAGGTCAAATGTTCAATCGAGATGCACAATTTTGGGAATCATCTCTGCTTTACCGGTCACCCTCTGCTTTTAGCAGAAAAATGTTACGAATTTCGGAAAGGCAAGTTTTTGAACTTTGACCGTTTTGCAGATGTTTTTTGAATTTTCTCAAAAACTACCCTATCAAATCTTAAATAAAGATTTAAATCGAAAGAAGCGATTGCGCGACTTTTTCCCGCAGAAGCTGCTAGTCCTTATTTTTATGGGAAAGGTTATGTCTTTGAAAATTCTAAAATCTCGACAATTTTCACTTATTTTATTTGAGAAACAATTAAGGTTTTGGGCAAAGTTCAATTATTGTAATTCGCATTTCCTTCGCATCAGTATAACAAATTCGAAAAATAACAAACACGTACCTTCAGCTTTAGCTGGTCCCTAGGTGTCCTTCATCGAGGCATACGAAAATTTTGGTTCACCTAGTTTTTTTTTCAACGTGCTTCAATTTTTTTCGACTAATGTTTTTTTAATGATTGCGTTGTATTGCAAGTCGTGCAAAGCTCCGCTTCGCCATTGTGTTTTAAACGAAAATTTCCGTAAATTAATATAGCGGTTTTGCAACTTCTCTTTCTAAAAACTAATCGATTTTCCTGGAAAACAACAGCATTTTTTTGCATTTTTTGAGAGGAAATGTACTTGGGATCTCTCATTTGTCCTCTTTCTTATCCTTGTCAATAAAAGTTAGTGAACATTTAAATTATTTAATGACTGTTTGAAGTATTTTGGTTTTAGGCAGGAAAGGTCTGGGCGAAGATCTCTTTCTGTACTCGACGGGTGTATTCCCCTTGCTGGGATCCTGTTCCATGTCAGCTAAACCGAAGGTTCTGGAACTGTACGAGAACTTTTATGTCCCGCTCGGAAACGCTCTACAACCTGCAATGCCGGCACTTATTCACGGTGTGCTTCCTGGACTGGAGGAAGGCTCGGAATATTTCAACCCCACATTGAGACTGCTTGAGAAATTTCGAAGAAATACGGCAAATTTCAATTTCGCAATCTGGAAGTGCATTAAGGACAACAGCTCAACTCGATTTCAAGCACTTACTTTTATCGTTGAGGTGCATTCAAAAAGCAAACAGAATGGAACCAACACTATTAAAGACTCCGTCTTTATCGATTCCGAAATCATGGTTTGTTTCTTTTGAAAATCATTTGATTGGGCGATATAGTCACTCGGCTAGATGGCACCGTTTATTTGTTTATTTGAGGAACTATATTCTTCGAGCAAAAGTAATGAAGTGTTTCAAATGTTGGCTTTGACTTAGTCTTTCGAATTTTTGTTTAGATACACGCCCTGTGTGAATGTCTACAAGACGCCACCGTACTCGTGCAGCGGATAGCCTTAGACGCTGTGATCAGTTTAACTGGACAGGCTAACACTAACCTAAACGTCTCAGATAAAGACATCATTCTTCTCAACTGCTCCGCATTCAATGTCCTGCTCCGGAAAGATCTCTCACTGAATCGCAGACTGTTCTCGTGGGTGTTTGGTGCGTTAAACCGTTTACTTAACTTTTTTTTACTTCATCTGCTACTTTATAATGTATCATCTCATTATAATATATTGACCCTACTATAAGTCTCTGGTCAGACTCCTCGAATGATTTGATGAGGTTTAGAACTTTGATAATTTTCGATTTGAAAGTCTAGTTAGTGAAGAATGTTTGCTGCTTTACCAAAGACCTTTGCTTAAAAAATTCCGGGTTCTTCATCGTACATGATTTTTTTTTTATCATAACGGCTCTTCTGTAGATCAATCTGATGATGTAGCCAATCAAGGCATCTTCCTCTCCTCTCTCAATATGTTCATCGCTATAACAGAACAACTGATTCTCCAAAATGACAAGAACTTCAACCGGAACTTGATGCTGCGACCACTCAGGGTCATGAACACTCTCCTCGATAGCAAAACAGACATGAATGCATTGCTTATGGCCGAAGACGGAAGCGTCCTCACCAATCTCTTCAGATATCTTCTCTCACTTACGAGAGCTATGTTAGGAATCTCAGCTGACGAGATGTACAACAGGATTCTTGGGTCGGGCTCCGGTTCGAGTACACACAAACTCCTATCAAACATGTTTCTGGACAACAGGGCGAGCGGAGATCTAATAAAGTCTGCGAATCTTCTGTTCCAAGAAATCCAGAAGCGAGAACCGGGAGACCTCATATGGCAGTTTTTTGCATGTCAGCTTGATGTAATTTGCACTGATAAAGAGTCGACTCGGCCTCAGTTTGAAGGGGTCAATCTGCCTGCTAAAAAGATAACAGTTGCCGAGCTGTGTCAGTTCGTCAGCTTCTTTCTCGACATCATTCTTCTCGTGAGTTGTTACTGTTCGCCGAGATATACAAATGGGTTTTTAAACCCTTAAACAAAAAAGGAAAAGCACAGAGCGTACAGTCAATGTTTAACTAAGCGCTTTCGCACAAACTTGTATGCATCATCAGAATATCTATCATCTGAAATGGCAGTCCTCATTAAAAAAACAGTTAATGGAAACACAAACAACAGCTTTTTTATCTGGAAAAAGTTCTGTAAATAGTCATGTGTTCTTCTGTATTAAAAAAAGAGTTTCATGTATTCTTCTACGAAGAAAAAGTCAGATTTTTTTGCGCCAGCTTTCCAAAATTGCAGGAAGAAACGCCTAATTTCCTTGATTTTTGCTTTGTGGTTTTAGCTGACAATTAGTTATGAAAATAGTTATGATTGAGAGCGAATATTTCTATATTTCGTAATGTTAAGTTACATAGCACTACTCTGTTATGGTACTGACTTATCGCCACAATTAAGCATTGATTTGAGAAATTTGATTGTTTCAGAGTCAGGTGAGATTTGAATGCCAGAAATATGTATCATTCAATCGTTAGCTGTCGCCCATAGCCGATTCACTCATTGATCGATTTTGTTCCAGTGTCGAGTTGTTATCTCAGATTGAATTTCAGTATAAAATTAGTGTTGACATAAAAAAAAACAGACGATATACATACGAAAAATAAAAAAATCAATTGAGTAAAGTTTTACTGAAACATGGCGATTGTTACACAGTTTTGCCTGCTATTTAGCATAATCAATATGTCAACATGTTTACCGGTGATTGATTTAGGAGACACACGAAGATGCATTCGAATGTCACATTCCGACTTTCATCCTTAAGATGATCTCGTGGTTGTGTGCTAATTGCGACTCCCTGCTTCTGCACGAGATCAACGACAGTCTGAAGTTGGCCATGAAACTGATCGAGTATGTCCACCCCTCGGCCTGCTATGTCTCTCTGGGAAAGTTCACAGGCAATCTGAGCGAGGTCACGTCCAGTCAGTACGTGTCTGGTGTCGACGTAGAAACGGTTAGTAAATAGGTTTATCAATCTGCCCTCATGATGCGAGCATCTGTCATAATGTGCGGCGGACCATCGGCCTTTCGGTTTACTTAGCTATGTTGGCTATGTTTTCAATTTTACAATTTCTAAAGTTTGGTCTATTTAGTATACAAAGCTGATTTAAATTAACCGGACAAAACGCATTAAACTTGAAATTTAAAACCCGTTTTTCTCAAATTGGGTTGAGTTTAGATGAAAACTTATGAAGACAAAACTTGCTTAAAATTTTAGCAGAACTAATATGGTGTAATTTGTTTTGAGAAATTCGGTTCCGAAATTTTACCCCAAAAATGGATCATTTTGGCTTTTCTTAGTTAATCAAAAATTACGCCGAAAATACCCAGTCGATCACAGACATAATTATATAAAAGTGAGCCCCTTACGTAGCCAAACCAACTTTAAGAAGGGTATAATCTCCAAAATATTGTATAAGTTAATTTATTTTTGTTTGATAGACAAAAAAGGTCATTTTTACTATATAAAATACCAACTTTTTATTTAAAAACAATTTTTAAACAATTTGCAATTTTTTTCGGAGATTATATCCTTCATAAAGTTTATTGGAGTCCACCCGATTGTTGGAGTCCACCCGAAAAAAAATGGCTAATGAAAATGGAAACCAATAAAACTTTGTTTTAGAAAGCTTTGTCTTCCAGCAAATCTTCACTTGCAGCATCTGATTTGGATGATCTAGTTGAGGCCAATCGGAAAGGGAAAAATCTGGGAAAAACTTCTGACATCGGCGAAACCGAAATACGAGCGGAGGGCGACACTTCAAGTCCGACTGCTCTCGCTCAGAACGGAAACATTACATCAGAGGACGAAGCTGTGATTGAGATACCTGAAGGAAATAAAATTGACACAATGAGCGCAAGTGTGAACCGTCAGTCGTCGCCCGCAAATTCGCCGAACGACTTCGATATGATTGAAAGTCATAAACATTCACTGGGCGAATCGGTGTTCTCAAACTCGAGTGTAGTCGAAGCGTGTATAAAATCAATCAAAAGTTTCTTCGACAAGATGCTGCGATCGAAGCTATTTGAACCCAGTTTCAGTGGGAGTAAAAGTGAATGCGAAAATGTATTGCAAAGATATGCGTCTTATTTGATGGAGAGGTTTTCAGATGTTGCCAGTTTTGAGGATGAATTGAGAATAAGATTGGCTAAAAGTAGAAACTCTGCATTGGTTTCCAGACAAGTTTTGGCCTCAACCAGTCAAAGTGCAATGAATGGCATAACTATGAACGGAATCAGTATGAAAGGAAGTGTGGATGATTTCCTAGCAGTCTTCGATTTGTCCTGCAAACTACTACATGCAATCTGCACTCTGCCTGTTCTTAAGGACAACGAATCTGCTAATGGTGAGCATTCGAAAGATAATAATTTTTTAAGAGTCTATGAACGTAGGTCATGCTTTTATATAGGTCGTGATGAATTTTTTTCTTCAGAAAATGTCTTGAAAATTTTTCACGCTCAAATTTACCTTTTCGCGGATTGACTTTTGATTACTTTTTAAGTTCAGTTCATTTCCTTTGATAAAATGAAGGCAAACTCCATTATCGATCAGCAAAAGTGTAAAGGTCACGAAAAACGTGATCGACTTCTAGTTTCGAAAATGGAATTTAATTATCAGATTTCCCAGCGAAATAAAAGTTTCATCTGTTGATCCAGTTTTCTCAAATTGGAGTAATTTTTGCAAAAACTCACCAATCATAAATTGTCCGTGAAATTCAAAAAGCTTTAAGGGCATATGTTTTTTTCTATGAATTTCGAAAGTTGAAGTTTTTTCAAAAAATGAATCGGTTTTTCGTTTTTTTTTTTCTGTTAACTTGCGGTCATTGACTATTTTCCAAATGTTTGTTGGCTATGTTCTAAAACCATTATGAGCTGATGAACGTAGTTCAGACTCCTATTTAGGTCGTGTAATAAAATTTCGATGAAAATTGATTTGTCGGGCTTTCGTTCATCTGCTCAATTTTTGTTGGCTTAGTTGCCACGTCACTGATTTCTCTTGTGCTGTAAATGGTATTTGCAAGTGATGTTCATTGTAGCTTCAGGGGAGACTTGAAATTTTTTTTATAAAAGTTTTTGGCTCGACTGGTGTCTGCTCTAATATTATCGGCTTTGTTTCCGCTTCGTAAGTTTTGTTCCGTTGCTAATTTAAAATTCAAATACCTTGCTTGGCTTGTTTGATTAGATTTCCTGTTGGATAAAAATAGGTATTATTTAAATATATGCGTTTAGGTTTGTTGCGACGCAAATATTGTTCCGACAAAATGTGTTCATTTTGATCAATAACCAGCTATTAAGTACATCCAATGCTAATTATATTACAAATATAACTTTAGCTTCAATGTATCATGAATCTGTAGCGTAGAGGAGGTAGGGAAGAAGACCCGCAATAAAATAAGAGGGTTTGAACCTGGGTGAGGTCGGATGTTTAAAACTTTTTCGTATGCTAGCTAAAATGCTTCAGCTCTATAAATTGAGGCATGTTAATTGGTAAATTTCTTTTTTTTAATTGACTGCTAATGCGTCATAGTTGGCTTGCGTCACTTAGCAATTTTGTAGACGCATAATTGGAGTGCGTTACTTAAGAAATTTTGTAGACTCAAAGTGTTACTTAGTCAGTTTTTCCCAGTAGCGTTATCGACCATATTTTTGGTTGTGTATATATATTGTTGAGAAGCTTTGAATATCTTTTCTTTATCAAAAATTTCAGATTTTCTCAAAGTATTTCATCGATTTTTAAACAAGGGGTATCAATGGAAAGACCGCGTATTCCACAGTGTGTCTGCTTATCCCCATAGTCTCTTTTTAATTTACCTTCTGGCTTTGGGAATTTTTTCTGCTGGAGCTGCCTCCGCTGTTTTTAGCAGAAAAAAAAGTTGTCTGCATTTCAGAAAAGAATTTTTACTGTTTTTTAGAAACTTTTTCGAAAAAACCGTTGTTGCGAGAATTTTTTTTACAGGAGCGGCGACTCCTTATTTTTTTTGTAAGATTAATGCTACTTCGTTGAGAAGTTTCCAATATCTTGAAATTTTTTCACTCTTCCCACCTATTTTTAGTATGAGCAACTAAGGTTTTGAGCGAAAATTTTTGATTTTTTTTGGTTAGCAACTTGGTTAACAAAATCACTGAACCAGTTTGAGACAAAGCACCGAACCAGTTTGAGACAACCGGTTTGATACTGGGAAGCAGATTTTTTTTGGAAGAAGCAGATTTTTTTGGAAGAAACTTATTTATCCGCTGATTTTTTTGTTCGTTTCCTTCCAAATCATGCTACTTACTTTTGGTTGAATCTAGTTTTGCTGGACTTTTTTTGGCTCTATCCTGTAATTTTAAAGTTTGTGACCTCTGACTGCGTGTATTTTTTTCCTTTACTTTTAACGTTTTTTGTTTGCTCAAATATTCTTTCCAAAAGAATGTCGGGGCCTATAGTTTGTCTGCTTATATTTTGTCGGCTTAGTTGCCCCATTGTAGAATTGATTTTATTTTGTACGGAACTTTAAATTTAGTCTTGTTTAGTCTTTTGAATTTTTCTAGCTTTTACAGTTGATTTTTTGCTGTTTTTCGTTTTTTCTTCGCTTAAAAACTACTTTCGGTGTATATTTTATCGGCTTAGTGACTTACTTCGGGGCTATTTCAAGGAAAGCATAAATTATATGCTTCATTCCGGATTTGCACAAAATGCTATTATTTTCAGAATAAATTTTTATTTCATAGTTTTTCACGAAACAAATTTTGTTTTCGGTTCTGCGGGAGATAGAACCGAAAACAAAATTGCCGCTTGTTATTTATTTATTGAGTTTTCATTAAATGCCGTCGATTGTGGTTCTGGGATTTTTTTCTAAGTTGTGGTTTTTGTGAAGTTTTTTCAATTTTCTGGACTTAGTTACTTATTTTTCCTGCCTGCTAGCTTGCCTTGTTATTTTTTTGTTGTATCGCATGTGGCGCGAAGCACCATTTCGCCTCTGTGTAAAAATTGTTCTAGACATCTGTTTGTATTACAAATTTGAAAGCTGAAGTTTCTTTTCCGCTTACTTGCGTTCGTTGAATTTGTTCCAACGGTTTGTGGTCTTGTTTCTGAGATAGAAATTTTCGTATTTCCAAAAAATTGTTGATTCTTTTAAAGTTTTTATGACAACGATTTCTTTTGGGAATTTTTTATTATCGGATCAATTGATGTCTAACCACGTGTTTTTGGCTTAGTGAACGCTCCGAAAATACTACAAGCTTGCTATATACGAGTTTTTGTATTTCTCGTGTCTTTTTCTGAGATTGAATTTTTCGTTAAAAAAAGTTTTTCGTTTCCACTGAGTTATTTCCGTCTTAGTGTTCATTTGATAGCTTGCAATGCTAGTCTTTCGTTGTATCGCAAGTGATATGGAGCTCCATTGTCCATCTGTGTATCTTTTTCAAGCCCTTTAAGTAATGACTCGAACATATTATAATAAGTGTAGTCATTTCTGATTAATCTAACTTAATTTTCAAAAAGTTTTCTTAAATATACTGCGCGACGAAATTGCATCGTGAAACATTTCGCTAAATTTTTCCTGAAATAAAAGTAGTCGGATAAACTGAAGTCTTACAAACTAACGCTTTTGAAGCAAGCTTGATTACATTTCAGCAACTAGTAAACATTTGATTTGCATTTTTATTTGAACAAAGTTAAGCTTAAATTTAACCAGTAGAACCCAGTTTTGATGCAAAGAATAAGGTAGTTTTAATAAGTCTATTGACTTTAAAAAGACGAGGTTTTTCCGGAACTATGACTAAAACATGGAACCAGGGGCGGATCTAGGATTTTCTCGAGGGGGGGGGGCGGATTTTCAAAAAATTTTCCAAAATTTTGACGACCTTTTTTTTAGGTCGACCAAATTGATATTTCGAGCTCTCCCAAAGCACTGTTTTGCCCTTATTTTGGCGAAATGTTCGGCGCCGCAGGCAAATTTTTGAAAAAACAGTCAAAAAAGCCGTTTTTGGGCACTTTTTGAAAAATTTTGACAAAAAAGTCGCGTTTTTTTGGCGCGCGCTTCTCCCCAAAGTTAGTATATATTGGCGCCCAAGGCGCCTTTAGAAAAATTTTAGGATCGGTCGGCCAAAAATGGATTTCTGAAAAAGTATCAAAGGGGGGACCCTTTGGGTCGGCAAGGGGTCGAATCCCTGAGGGGGGGGGGAGGCGTCTATTTTTCATGTTATGTTGCTCCAAAAAGTGTTTTTTTTTCAAAAGAATTACCAGGGAAGTAGTCAAGTTCTGTTATCGATCCGAGCAAGCGTATGGTTTTTTGCAAAATCAAAAATTATTCCTAAAAGATTTTTAGATTCATTGAAGTTTTGCTGTTGTGTAATTTTGCTGTTTTTCGCTCAGTATAGTTAGGTCGTTATTTTTTTTCCAAAAACAAGTCTTAAAATTTGTTCACGCTCAAGTTTTGTTTTGAGCGGTTTATATTTCTTTTGAAGTTCAGTTCATTTGCTTTTTTAAAAATAATATTTACTCCACTATCGATCAGCAAAGTTGAAAGGTCACGAAAAGCCTAAATGACTTCTAAATGATTTATTCAGCGGAATAAAAGTTGTACCTAATGATCCAGTTTTCTCAATCTGAGATAATTTCTTGTCAATCATAAATTGTTCTTGAAATTCAGAGTTTTAAGGTCATATTTTTTTAGTTTGAATTTCGAAAGTGGAAGTTTTGCTAAAAAAGAACTAGTCAGTTTTTTGTTTCCTTGCGTTCATCGAATGTCTGTTGGCTATGTTACATTTTATAGTCTTGTTTAATTGAGAGCTCGTGAACATTTTAGTTTCTAGTTTCATTTTTCCAGTGCAACAGAAACTTAGCTCTCTAAAAGGATGCGCTGTTAAATTGGAAGCTGGAAAATTGTAAAATCGGATTTTGGATAAAATCAGATATTTTTCTATCAAAAAATATGAAAAAGAGTTAAGTTTTCTCTTATATTTTATTATTATTTTTTGTAAGTTCAGGGCAATAAATTGATTGAGAAGCTTTAGATGTTGAATGTTTAGTCGAATTCTCGGAAACAGAGATTCCTCCGTGGCTCATGTCGCTCTTCATTGCCAGTTGTTTCGTGGCTAACTTCTCAATCCAGGCAAAGGCCACCGACTGTCTGCTACAGCAGCTGGCCCTTTCATCCGAGCCAGAGATCGTGTACTCGAGCGACCAGAGAATCATCACCTCTATTTCTCAGCCAGAGCTGCAACTCATCAAGCGATCCTATCGTATATACCTTGTTAGTTCACTAATTCTGGTGAAAAAATATCATACAGATTTCTCAAGCAACCGGAAGTACAAGGAATTGACTACTTTTTAAATAGTCGACACTCCAGTGAAATCTTCCCTATAGAGTTGAAAAACTGAGTTCATTGATGGGTTTAACCTGATAAAATGTATTCTAAGAGAAAAGGAAACCTTGCGCGTAACAATTGCATGCGAATAACGAAAATTACCCGATTTCTTTGCTAGTAGTACTGAGTTTTCTCAACCCAGAAATAGTGCAAAATAGTTCTTTTCAAGTTTTATGTATTTAATATGCATTTAAGTATATATGCACTTTTTAAGTTCATTTCAAATATGTGCTAAAATGCAGGCCATTTCCGCTCTCCAACTACGAAAGTGAAAATGACGCAAAAAAACGTGAACGACTTCTATTTTCAAAATGGAATTTAGTTTTTAGAATTTCCAGCTGTCTAAAAATGTTACCTTTTGATATCGTTTTCTGAATTTGGGTGATTTTTATCAAAAAAATTGTCAATCATGAAAGGTTCTTGAAAAACAAAGAGCTTCAAAGTCATGTTTTTTCTTTGAAACTTGAAATTAAAAAATAAAATCATCTATTTTTGCAGTCTTATTGAGTTCGTTGACACTTCCAACGGTCTTAAAAACGTAGCTATGTTCGTTCTGTAAGATTGTCTACAGTCCTCAAGTGCAGCTAGTGGGTTTTCAAAGTCGCATTGGGAGTTCGGGTGTAGAAATCAGTCTGAAAATCGAAAATATTCAGGCCAGTTTATTTCAACAACTGGGTGAGCGTTTTTAAAATATATAATCGTAGATGCGACTGAAGGTTTTTAATATGAAGCCACACTTGACTTCTTGCGTGCTTTATTTGAGGTAAAAAAAACTACCTCAAAAATACCGATCCTGCGCCATACTTCCATTCTACGAGAATAGGAATAAAAACAATTGAAGTGTTTTCATCAGAACGCGGCAGACAACGAGGCCATCTGGCTTGCAAGTGCACGCCCTGGACTTTCGATTCCAGAACAATATGTAATTCTTTGTAGGAAATCTGTCTGTCGCTGTGGTCGTGGCTAGAGTCGCGTCACTTTCTCTGCCACGAGAGGGCAGTAGATCTATGGCTACAACTGCACAGATGCTGTCCCGAAAGCATCTCCAACTTGTGTGAAGACGTCATGGTGCATTCTATGGGCAGACCAGCTGTTTGTGGGGGACTGGAGGCCTGCAGACGCTTCTCAGTTGTGTGGCACTTGTCGAGGACTATAACAAACGTGCAGAACTTAATTGCAGCTGGACAACCAACTTTCGACAAGTAATTAGATGGTCCAGCAATTATTTTAAAAAAAAAACAGGCCAAAAAGGCCAAAAATTTTGACGCACTTTTCCCCCAAAATAGTAATAATATTGAAAAACTTAGGGGTCCGTCATCCAAAAATGGATATCTCAAAATAGTACAAATAGGGATCCTTTGGGTCAGCAGGGGGTAGAATCCCCCTAAATCCGCTACTGTGGCTTATAAATTTATTTTTATACTGGATAGAATCATTTCGTCGAATGAATCGGGTGCTGCTCAAAAAATCAATGTTTTTTTTTGGTTTCACTGAGTTCATTTTTTCGAACAGTCTGCTGGTGATTTTCTGGAAAAAACTTATTTCTATTCTGAGGCCAAATTAAGATCAGTATATCTGCAAGTAGTTGGTTTTCAATGACTTTTTTTTGCAACGAGGCATTTTTTCGTTGCGCAGCTTGCGATGAAATAGTGATTTTTTAAGATGCTTGCTGGTGATGCTGGACGGACTCTCCTCTCGCGAGACTTCGCGTAGATCAATTACTAAGCAATGGCTGCTGCACTGCATATCGCGAGGAGACATAGCGCGTATTCTGGAACCACTAGTGCTCATTCTTCTCCACCACAAAACCAGCCGTATTTTACCACAGTCGGTTCTGGTGAAACCCATCAAACACAGTTCGAACTATGTTGCGGAATTCGGCTCCAGGCGGCTGTTTTCGGTCCTTTTGGTCAGTTTGTCAATTTTGTTTTTTTTATCTTCTACGCAGTGAGTTGTTAAAAATTTAGGAATAATGTTTTGTAAAAAGTTTCTGCATTTTCCTGTTAAGATAATTTGTTTACATTCAGATTTTGGATTTTAATCATTGCTTCTAGGAACGCCGAAAAGACTCAATGCTTAAAGTGTCTCAAAGCGCAACGGATGTCGGCTGGGCCTTAAGGAAAAGCTCCTCCAGTTCATCGATGAGCAATCCCTTTGCTTTTTCGGGTGCAGTATTCCTAAGCGAGGTGGAACGAGAAATGATGATTGACAGCGAAGATTTCGAGCAAGTTGACGTCGAGATGATTGTGAAGCAGATTTTGAACCAAGTTGTGGAAGAAGCTATGTTGCATTCAGATGCGAATCATCTCGAGGAACCAAGTGAAAGTGTGCAAGTCGACGAGAACTCGAATACTGTAAAAATGGAACAACAAGTTAGCAAAAGTGACGAAAACGAGGAAAGCCGCATCAAGCAAACTGGGAATCCAATTCCGACTATAACGGCACCAATTGAGAATTTAACCGCCACCGTCAAGAATTCGATAGGCAAATTAATCCATAAAAGTGTTGAAAGCTCAGGGAAAACAAGCTCTCAAGAAGATGCAGCGGTAGCCGTGAAAAACATCAAATCATCTCCTGCAGTGGTTTCACATCTCGATAATGTGTTTCTGAGTTTCTTCATGCTCTATGATCAGCCTTTCGACTTCAATAGGAGTCTACACGTTTTCTCTACACTCTCAGAGATGCTGAAAGTTGACCCTGTTGTCTTTTTGAACGCAGTATGTTCTACATGCATAGGATGCGGTAACACTTCATACGTGCATCAGGTTCCGAAATTCATTTTCAGACATAACAACTCAATTATGGGCAAAAACTTCTTCGCAGATGTTGCTCCAGAACAACTGGCACAGTTCCGCAACTGCAAATTCGTGGAGCTGCTCATTTCGCTGAGTCTCTATCACTTGCGCACAACTTTCACGACAACCTGGGAAGGTCAACAAGCTAGTGATGATCGAGCTGATGTGGAATCACGGGCTGAAAATTACGCAATTCAAATCAGGGTGACAGAGTTCCTGACTGAGTTGTTCACAGGACTGAACAAGTTGATAGTGGTATCGGAGCCTGACGTGATTCCAACATTCATCAATGATTTAATGTCAAGATGCAAGGTTCAAAGAACCGTGCTTCTTTGTCTATTGTGTCATGTGAAAACAGATATTTTCACAAACAGTGCGGAAACAAGCTGCGAAGAGGCGCAGTTCCTCGAAGGTGCTCTGGATCCGAATGGACTGGAATTGAAACTACTCGAGCTGGTTTCGGTATTGATTCAGACTGAATACTACGTGTTCGTGACAAAGGGTAAATCTGATTTCAAGGGCAAAACATCGACTTTGTTTAAAGATGCGACATCTGTCCAAGTGAAGCAACGGCGCCAGGCTCTCCTAGATGCTTCGTTTAGATACAAAACAGAAGAATTAATTGTCTGTCAGAGTTTCTTTGTCGAAACAGTGGTGGATGCTCTGAAACAAACGGATTTCCTATTCTTGCAAACTCACTGGCTAAATTTTGTTCTAACAATATTGCCGTTCACTTGCCGAGCAAGGAAGGATATCGTGGTTCCAACGGTCAATCAAATTTGCAGAAACTTAGAAATTCTCGCTGACGATGGCTTGGCGTCTTACCCACGTGTGTCATCGCTGCCTCCAGATATTTTCATTACTCTTCTTGAAAGTCTCTCGAAATTCTTCTCGTTATGTACTTTAGAATACCCTGAAGTTGGGAATTCGCAAAATCATAGTGTAAGCCTAATAAAAGAAGGAGTCAACATTGACCAGCCAGGATCGCCTCTGAGAGGCTGGTCTCTAGAAGATACGACCGAAGAGTCCAAGAACTCACCGCCTTGTTTGCAATCTACGACAGTGAAGAAAGATTTCTGGCTAGATGCCAAAAAGGGATTACTTGACATTCTACCAAGAGTACTTAAAAGTCTGCTGCATGTTTGGAAACGAGTTGTGAACAAGAAGTTGTCGGGAGTGAAAACGAAATCCGAGTCTGGGAAGTTGGGTAGCTATCATGGAGCTTTAGCAAGTACAAAATTTATTATGGGTCAACCAGAAATTGTGAGGAAACGAATTGTAGATATAATTGAATCACTGGCTGTCACTCATTCTTCGAAATTGTATGCAGCTGTGGCACTTGTTTGGAACGGACATCGAGAAAAGAGCAAACTGCGAAAGCTAAATGAGCAGTTCACTCCTGATCAGCTCTTATTAGTCGGGCTGATAAACTCAATTCCGTCTCAAAATCTTTCTACTATCATATCTAACGTCTCGCAAGTCCTGAAAGTCTCAAACCCAAATGTGCAAATGAAGAAACGTTCGATTTTGGAGATTTCGATTTTACAGTTCTTCATGGCGTATGTGAAAACACTCGCAGCCAATGCTTTGGAAACAAGCGCAAGATCTATTTTGTCGATGGTGCGAGACTCCTGTGCTAGTACAGCGCACGGTGGTCAAGTTATTCTTCTGCTGATTGCGAACTACGTGATTGAGAAAATCATCACCGAGTTGAAAGATCTGCGCGAAGTTCAAGATTTGGTTTGGAAATTGACAGAGTGCCTGACGCTGCTGGCAAGCACAGGATTGGTCCAAAGTGCCTGGATCGGAAAGATATATACAGTGAAACCGGGAATCCAGGTACCTTCGAACGATACAGACTTGATCATCTTGCAGGGGAATGCGGAATGGGAGGAGCAATCAAATGGCACCTTCGCTACTCAACCAACTTCCTGCAATTATGTCCAGGCCATGGAAGTAATGGCTCAAATACTGCCGAACCTACTGGACCTGATATACAGAAGCGAAGAAAAAGATAAAATCAATGCGGTCATTCAAAACGTGTTAGTAGTTTCGACTGCTTTCCTAAAAACGAAAAATGTGGACAATATCCCCAGTCTAAGAGCAGCGTCGCGCCTCACAGCTGAAGTGAGTTATTTTCACTACACGCGCAAGTCGTGGAAACGAGACATTTTCGACCTTTTCTTAGAAAAGTCTTTCTTCGAAATGACGTCAGAAATGGTAGCATTGTGGAAAATAGTTATTGACAACTTGATGACTCATGATAAAATAACGTTCAAGGAGTTCTTGGGACAAGGAAATATTGCTGGTGTTACTGGGGGTCTTATTAAGTCGCGGGAGTTTGAACTCGACTTGAAGGCTAAATTACTTAAAAGATTGGCATTTGTCGTGTTTGCGTCAGAAAAAGATCAGTATAACAGAATTCTGCCCGAGCTGCAAGAAAGGGTTTCTGACATGTTAAAAACCGCTGGATCCTCTCCAGTAGTTATGGAGCAAATATTTCTGGTGTTTCGAATATTTTTGATCCGTCTTAATCAAGACTCACTGATTGCGCTTTGGCCGATAATGATATCAGAGCTGACTGTTCAATTGAGGCAGCTCGAGTTTGACCTCATGGCGGAAGCAGGCAAGCTTAACATGCCCAACGGGTCTCTAAGTACCTCGAGTGGAGGTCTCACGCAGCATCAAATGAATGAAAATTGGTTGGATATGTACCTGTCAATGGCAAAGTTCCTGGACACTGCGCTTCTCTTGAGTCGCATGTCGTTGTCCCATTTTCAAACATACCTTTGGGCTTTTGTGGGGATTTCCAATCAGGAATCATCATCGTATCAAAAATCAAGAGCTCAGGTGACTTCTTTTGTCCCATACTGTGTACGAATAGCCCAACTGTTGGAAGCCAGACTTACCAGCAAGCAATTGGCAAACAAGATGATGCCGGCTCATTTCGGATACCCTCTTTTACACTTTCAGTATTACAAACTTACAAATATTTCGCAACTGCAGCCCTTCTTTTCGACTATTTGTTATCATACTTTTGAGCAGAATAACATCACTTTGCCCTCAGAACAGTCGACAGGAGACAATGTTCCGAGGTTTTCAGATGATCTCAAAGCTAAGTTGAATTCCTCGGAAGAATCAAAGAATTACATTCAGAACCTGAGAAAGAAGTTACTGCATGTGAACAACTTGCCACTGAGTCAAGCGAAGGACTCCAGTGATTTCTTGGAAAAATTAGTCGAGAGAGATTTTGCAGAACTGCTTGCATAAAATGTGTTTTGAATGTTAATTTTCGAATAAAATGAATATTTCTTTGTTCCACATATCTGAAATTTTAAAGCGCAATTCCTACGATATAATCAGATGTATTCAAATATCATTGTTTCAGTTTAGATTAGACTATAATAGACAATGTCAGAGCTATAAAAATTGTTTTGCTATAGAAATGATGGTTATGATTGTGACAATGAATTCAACGACTTGTTGTTTGCAAAATAATGGTTGGTGGGATCTCTAGATTACGAGGACCGTATGTGAATTGAACTCTTATTTGTTTACTCTTTTTAGAACAAAATTATTAGAAAGCTTCCAGTGGCAATTAATGAATCAAATATATCTGCTTCTAAGTAAAGCTTAATTAAGATAATTTTCACAAGATTAATTGGCCTAATAAATTTTTGGCGAAAGCACTAAACTTTACTTTTAAAAATTTAACTTCGTTATTTTTCCAAGAGTTAATGAACTATTTGAAGACTCTTATCTAGGTGACGATTTTTTCGGGAAAATTTGATCTGGCCATGTTTGATCTTTTGCGGTTTGATTTTTCATTTCTTCTGCTGTTCAATTGAATCATTTGCTAAAAGAAGAAATTACGCTTCAGGGTCTCCGGGGTTTATGTATCTTGCCTTCAAATATGACTGCTCGAATCTTCGAAGTTTCCGAGATATGACGTTTTGATGGTTTTTTCATAAAAAACTTTTTAGAAACTTAAATTTGATTTTTCTTCAAGTTTGAAATTCTCAACCTTGTAGTTGGGTACTGTGAGGGTACTCTCAGGAGTTTCACGTTGCAAGTTTTGCGTCCCAATGCGACTGCTCTAATGCTTTCAGTTTCTGAGATGTGACGTTTGTAGTGTTTTTTTAATTGTTCTAAGAACTTAAAACTTTCTTATGTTCCCATCTCTGTAGTGATGCTTTATTAGGACACTCCTAGAGGTTGCAAGTTTTTCCTTTAAATTCCACAGCTTAGATTTTTGTAACTTTCGAGATATGACGTTTTAATGATTCTTTTCAAAAAAAATTTCAGAAAACCTAAATTTAAATTTTCAAAGATTGTGGAATTCCTAACCCTGAAGTTGGGGGCTGTCAGAGTAGTCTCAGGTGTTGCGAATCTTCCTCCAGAAACGAGTGCTCAATTTTTGGTAGTTTTCGAGATATGGCACTTTTCTTGGTTTTTTCAAAAATGTAATCAGAAAGTTTCAATTTGAATTTTTTCGAAGTTCCCGACCATGTAGTGGACTACTGTCAGTACCCTCAGAAATTGCAAATCTTGCGTCCAAATGCGACTGCTCAATTGCTTATAGTTTCCGGGATGCGAGGTTTTTCTGTCATTTTAAAAAATTTTTAACAAACTTTAATATAAAAAAAATTCACAAAATTGTATGGTTTTTCAAAATTTGAATTTAAAAAACTTGAATAACTTTACAAAATTTGAAATTGCGAACCCTGTAATTGGGTGCTGTCAGAGTACACTCAAACAATGCAAAAATGTTTCCCCATATAAACCGTTTTTTTTATGAGTTAACATAATTTCGAAGCACCGGAGGTGCGTTACACGCTAGTTATTAGTTTTTTTTTTGAGAATTTGATTTTTTGTGGTCTGATGTCTCAATAATTTTGACTTTGAATTTAAATAATTTGCTGAAAGGAAGACAAATTGTACTCTTGAATTAAGAAAGTGGAAATGTGCCGATGAAATTTGAATGACTTTGAGATACGAAAGTGAATTTTAGTCATTGAATTTCCCAGCGAAATAAAAAGAAGACTGCTCGTATCAGGGCGAGGCCCTGGATGTTCTGACTGTTTTTTAAGGTCTATGGAGCAGTAATAACATGGAAGAAAATAAAATGTAAAATAAATATTATCCCCCCACACGCCACATAAAGTACAAAGTGATAGATTTCGCTCTTAGTAACGAATCAATTCTGGCAAATCAGCTTCCTTCAACCAATTTGGAATTATTTCTAAGACGGATTAAATCTCCGCTCGCGCGTTAATAGCGCGAAATATATCGCGCGTTAATTGTCCCAAATTGGCCAAAGTGGCAATCTTTAAACCCCCATAACGTCACTAAAAATGATCACAGGTAAAATATCGTTTCAAATTTAAGCTCAGGACAACAATACCTTTTGAATGATATAAAAAATCCCTTCAAAAATTGCTATTTAAAAAGTCGAAATTTTTCTGAGGAAAGAAACCCACCCCGAGCACAAATATTCCGTTACTTTCGTACAAAAGTCGGAACAAAAAGAACAATTGATCGAGCCTTCTCTAATGATCCAATTTTCCCTTAAGGGTAAAATGTGTAGATCATAAAAATCTTTCGAAAATAAGAGTATTCAGGCTTTATATTCTTTTTCTGCGACTCTCGAAAGTTTCAAAAAAAAAATTATTTTTGATTTTTTTGTGTTTCTTGAGTTCATCGACGCTTTTCGAAATCATTATTAATCGTGGTTTTTTTCACGAGTTTTTTGTGGTTTGATTTTTCATTTCTTTCAACGTTCAATTCAAATCCTTCTCTAATAATAAAATTATTACTAGTTTCTAAATCATTTTTCCGGAAACTTTGATCACGCCTAATTTGATTTGTGTGGTTTGACTTTTTATTGATTTGAACGTTCAGTATAAATAGTTTTCTAAAGTAAAGCAAATTACGCTGTAGAATTAAGCAAGCAGAAATGGCGCGATTAAAATGTGAATATCTTTAGGTTCGGAAGTGGATTCTAGTTTTGTTATCGAATAATTAAGTTAGCTATTGAGTTAGCTACAGTTTTCTCTAACTATCCAGTTTTCTCCAATTGGTTCATAATTGATCATAATGTGTTCTGAGATTTAGAGAGCCTCAACGTGATACATTTTTTTCTGCGACCATCGAAGTTTTCAGACACTTGAGTTCGTTAAAAATTTTCCAACTTTTGCTGATTAGGATTTCGGACTGGTTTGATTTTTTGTGCTCAATTTCCTCGCCTTGGCGCCAGTTTGAATTTCCGTTCGCGCTTCAATTTTTCTTTCATGTGTTCATGAATATAGTGCATAAGATTGCGGATTTGTAGGAGAAATCTGTTAATAATATTGTTTTGAAAAAGCATATTTTTCTTCGAGCTTGAATGTTGAAAATGTTTTAAAAAAGTCGATCATTCTCTACATTTTATTTGACAAAAAAAAATGTTTTTTTTTGCTGATTAGAAGGCAAACACCTGTCAGCAATGAGAAACATTGAGAAAATAGATTTTCATACTAAAATTTTAGTTTCGTAATAATTAGTGATGCTTGATTGAATGATTGATGACAGCAAAGAAATAGTGAAATGAAGGCTTATAAAGTTAATATCTTCGAAAGCACTATCTCTTCGAAAAAACTGATAATTATTAGTTAGAGAATTATGACCATTTTAGTAAGAAAGAAACCTAAATATAATTTAGCTAGAAATCTTTCAGTTTATCAAATATGAAACTACTACGTTGGATAAATCAGTCTAGGTTCAACGTCGGCTTCAAATGTCGATGTCTACTCTCGCGAACAGCAAGGGTTTGCAATTGGGTAATAGACTTTTTCCCGTTAAAAGCATTCTTTACAGACTGATCTAAATTATAAATGGTGAAGTTAGGTTCACATCACAATGAATTCGAATTTTTTTGCTTCTGCGGCTCACTTGATCTGGAGTCACCGAATACGCCTGGGACGGCAAAGGTCCTTGGTTCAAATCCGACCGGGATATGTTTTTTCTCATTCGAGAAATTCTCCGTTTCAAAAAATTTTCGGTTTATTATTTGTCTGCGCAGGTTTTGTCGGCGTAGTTGCCACATCATAAAAAGTTTTTTTTTGCTGTACGCAATTTACATTGTTGCTTCTGTTTGTAATTATGACCCTTGTCTTCGTATCTTTTCTCTTTTTTGCTTAAATTTCATTCTGCCCAAATTTTATCTGCATAGAGACCTAATCTATTATCTATTATATATTTAAATGCGGGCTTCACTATCTCGCCATGTTTAAGCTTTTTCAACGTATTATTTTTGCATGTTTAAGCTATATCGTATATTGCAATGGTTAAGAATTTTTTTTCGGTTTTCCAATTTGATTTCAGTGGTTATTTTAACGAGTTTAAATTAAGCAGCCTAATATCGAATTAGGGGTTTCGAGTTTGGCCTCCAATTTTGAATGCCCGAATCATTTTAGTTTACGAGATAAGACGATTTTTGAGATTTTTTCAAAAATTTTCAGAAAATTCAAATAACAAAATAATTTAAAAAACTTGAAGTTCCCAACCCTGTAGTTGGGTGCTGTCAGAGTACTCTAAGAAGTTACAAATCTTGCCTCCAAATATGACTGTTCAAATCCTTGTAGTTTTCGAGATATGACGTTTTTTGTTATTTTTTTCAAAAAGTTTTTAGAAAACTTAAATTTATTTTTTTTTGCAAAATCTGAAGTTCCCAACCCTGAAGTTGGATCCTGTCAGAGTAATCTCAAAGATTGCGAATCTTGCCTCCAAATATGACTGTTCAAATCCTCGTAGTTTTCGAGATATGATCTTTTTTGTGATTTTTTAAAAAAAATTTTCAGAAAACGTATTTTAATTTTTTATCACAAAATCTGAAATTAAAACCCTGTGGTTAGGACCTGTCAGAGTAATCTCAAAGATTGCGAATCTTGGCTCCAAATATGACTGCTCAATTTTTTTGTAGTTTTCGAGATATGACGTTTTTTGTGATTTTTTCAAAAATTTTCAGAAAACTTGAATTATTATTAGTTTTTAAAAATTGGAATTCCCAACACTGTATTTAGTTCCTGTCAGAGTACTCTCAAAGATTGCAATCTTGCCTCCAAGTATGACTACTCAATTCTTTGTAGTTTTCGAGATATGACGGTTTTGTGATTTTTTCAAAAATTTTCAGAAAACTTAATTTATTATTATTCTTTAAAAATCTGAAATTCCCAACGCTGTAGTTAGCTCCTGTCAGAGTACTCTCAAGGATTGCGACTCTTGCCTCCAAGTATGACTGCTCGATTCTTTGTAGTTTTCAAGACGTGACGTTTTTTGTGATTTTTTAAAAATTTTTAGAAAGTGTAAATTAATTATTTTTCAAAATTTGAAATTGCCAACGCTCAAGTTCGGTGTTGTCAGGGTACTCTAAAGAGTTACAAATCTTGCCACATGCGATTGCTAAACGAGACTGCTCAAATGCTTTTAGTTTCCGAGATGTGACGTTTTTTGATTTTTTCAAAAATTCTCAAAGAACTTATCTACAACGAAATTCAAAAAATTTGAAACTTCTAACCTTTTTGTCAGCGTACACCCAGGCGTCTCAAATCCTGCCTTTGATATGAATGCTCATATCCTTTCCGGGATAAGATGTTTTCTCAATTTTGTTTTTCGGGAAACTTAGGTGTAAAAAAATTCACCAAGTTTTGGATTCCTAACCCTATAGTAGGGTGCTCTCAGTGACTCCCAGTGGTTGCAAATCTGGCCTCCAAATTTCTCGAGAGGCCCATTAAGTTAAATTTAAAAGTTCGAAATAACCAACCCTGTAATTGGATGCAGTCAGAGTACACTAAAAGTTTGCAGATGTTGTTTCCAATATATGCGGTTTTTCATGAGTTGTCGAAAAATTTCGAAGCACCGAAGGTGCGTTAAACGCTAGTTTAGAGTTAATTTAAGGCAAACATACTCTTATTGATCCCCTCTGGATCGCACAAAATTTTCAGTTATAAAGAGATTTTTTGTCAGTTCAACCATCAGTTTGAATAACAGCTGCTGCGAATCACGCGCTAGTTTCATGTTCATGCGAGCTTTTGCGGTTTTCCTTTTTTAATCTGCACAAATTTATTGTACAGATTATTTAGCTTGTGGATAAAACTTGGTTATTTTACTCACAAGGATTGATGCTTTTTAGCAGATAATCAAAAGTTTTTAAGTTTGTTCACGCTCAATTTTTATATTTTTTTGCGGCTCAACATTTGATTTGACTTTAAGTTCAGTTCATTTCTTTTGTTGAAAGAAATGCAAACTCCGCTATCTAACAGAAGGGTGAAGATCACGAAAACCGTGCATGACTGTAATTGTCTTATTTTCCAGTTAAATAAAAAAATTGTCAAGTGGTCTAATTTTCTCTAAATGCCAAAACGCCAAGAAAAAAAGCGCTGTTCATAAACAATTCAAAAGCGCTTCTATGTGATATTTGTATTTTTTCGAAAATTGATATGCATTAGAGTTTGTTGTCATCTGAAAGACTTTCTACGCCTGATTCAAATTCTCGAACTATTTTTTTGAAAAACATATCGAGAGAGAGTTGTCGGAATAGCTTTTCATTTCGAACCAATTGGCTTATTTTTGGCTTTTTTTGAAGGTAGTGTCGTCTTTCGCCATCGAAGAATATGTAGAAAGATATTGCTTTTTCTATGATTTCTGTGATCAGAACATTGCCTGCACGGCAGCTCTACACTCTTTTTGTTTTGAAACTAAAGTCTGTTTTGGTATCATATCAATCGCAAAATTTTAAAAGTATTCCTTTTCTGATGTTGATGCTTTTTTATTTTGGAAATTGTTATTGCTCCAATCACGAATTATGAAGAAACTTCGGGAGTAGCTGTTTTTGTTTGTATATAGTTTTTTCGCTAAAAATGGTGTACGCCACAAAAAGTCAGATGGGTTTCAATAATACACGAGCAATTTTAATCGTAATTCAATCAATCCTCAAAAATTTCCAAAATTTTTTCAGTATCGAACAAATTTGGTTTCAAGTTTGTTTTTAGAGCAGTTTTTAGTGTTGCGACCTAATTTTGAGTTAATTTAAGGCAAACATACTCTAATTGATCACCTCTGGATCGCACAAAATTTTCAGTTATAAAGAGACTTTTTGTTAGTTCAACAATTAGTTTGAATAACAGCTGCTGCGAATCACGCGCTAGTTTCATGTGCATGCGAGTTTTTGCGGTTTTTCTTTTTTTATCTGCACAAATTTATCGTACAGATTATTTAGCTTGTGGATAAAACTTGGTTATTTTACTCCGAAGGATTGATGCTTTTTAGCAGATAATCAAAAGTTTTTAAGTTAGTTCACGCTCAATTTTTATATTTTTTGCTGCTCAACATTTGATTTGACTATAAGTTCAGTTCATTTCTTTTGTTGAAAGAAATGCAAACTCTGCTATCTGACAGAAGGGTGAAGATCACGAAAACCGTGCATGACTGTAATTGTCTTATTTTCCAGTTAAATAAAAAATTGTCAAGTGGTCTAATTTTCTCTAAATGCCAAAACGCCAAGAAAAAAAGCGCTGTTCATAAACAATTCAAAAGCGCTTCTATGTGATATTTGTATTTTTTCGAAAATTGATATGCATTAGTTTGTTGTCATCTGAAAGACTTTCTACGCCTGATTCAAATTCTCGAACTATTTTTTTGAAAAACATATCGAGAGAGAGTTGTCGGAATAGCTTTTCATTTCTAACCGATTGGCTTATTTTTGGCTTTTTTTTGAAGGTAGTGTCGTCTTTCGCCATCGAAGAATATGTAGAAAGATATTGCTTTTTCTATGATTTATGTGATCAGAACATTGCCTGCACGGCAGCTCTACACTCTTTTCGTTTTGAAACTAAAGTCTGTTTTGGTATCATATCAATCGCAAAATTTTAAAAGTATTCCTTTTCTGATGTTGATGCTTTTTTATTTTGGAAATTGTTATTGCTCCAATCACGAATTATGAAGAAACTTCGGGAGTAGCTGTTTTTGTTTGTATATAGTTTTTTCGCTAAAAATGGTGTACGCCACAAAAAGTCAGATGGGTTTCAATAATACACGAGCAATTTTAATCGTAATTCAATCAATCCTCAAAAATTTCCAAAATTTTGTCAGTATCGAACAAATTTGGTTTCAAGTTTGTTTTTAGAGCAGTTTATAAGGTTGCGCCTTCTTCTATATTGATTAATTGCTAGTGGAAAACTGCCAGGATTCGATCTTTATATCGAAGATATTGGTAGTTCGCTCTGAGCTAATATTTAGTATGTCCGCCATCCATCACAAAACGACCATTCTTTAATTTTTAATCATTTTTTTGGAATCAATGGCAATGTTTGAAAGTTTGCGAAATAGTTTTGACTGTAGGTGCTTTTCATGTGCTGTTGCTCTTGAATGGACGTATTTTCAGACTCTCTGTCCAGAGAAATGTCTAATGAGAGTTCGATTTGGGGAAATCAAGCATCTATCGATGAAAGCCAGAGTACAATAGAAAACCCACGAAACCCTCAAAGGGACAACCAGCTAAGTTTCTCCCCGTTAGTTGCAACAGCCTCGACCAGCACTGCTGCTTTCGTTCAGACTCATTCTTTAGCAGAACGAAGTCCTCCGAATACGAGTATGTCTCGGAATCTCGTGCCCAATAGAGGCTCAACTTCAAACAGTCAAGGAATCGAACCCATGGAAGAAGCTCAGCAGCCCTCATTTTACACAGCGCATAGCTCCAATCTAAGCATCACGAGGCAAATGAGTCAAGGTGTGAGCCAGCACTTGCAAAACCCATTTAACCCGAACCCAAGTGTCATTACAGACGGAGAGATCAATCATTTTTTGAGGCTCTCACAAGACTTGGCCGCACTGTATATGAACCAGGAATTGAGTGACGTCACTTTTGTCGTTGGAGGCGAGAGGTTTGTGAGTCACCGAGTGATCCTCGCTAGTCGCAGTGATTATTTCCGAGTGCTCCTCTTCGGATCTTTTAAGGAGTCGCAAAGCTGTGTGGACGAATTTGTGATTGAAGATACAACTGCGTTGGCGTTTGGTGCATTGCTTAAGTACATCTACACGGGAAAGTTGGCAATAAGTGAATATTCAGAGCCTGAAGTGTTGGAAATTCTAGGATTGGCACACAAGTATAGGTTCGAACTACTGGAGGAGTCGATTGCGAGTTATTTAAAAATCTCACTTACTGTTGAGAATGTTTGCCTTATATATGACGACTCATTGCTGTATGGATTGAATACTTTGACCGCCATTTGCAAAGAGTTTTTGGACCGAAATGCCAGCGAAGTCATGCAAAATCGAACATTTCTGAACTTGTCTCTCAACGCAATTTGCGAGTTGATTGATCGTGATTCTTTCTACGCTCCGGAGCTCGAAATCTTCCAGGCTGTTCTCCAGTGGCAGAATCACAATTTGGCAAACATGGAAACTTCCAGTGCCGAAAACAGAGAAGCTCAGATTGAGAGGTCGAAACAAGTCATAAACAAAGTTAGACTAACTTTGATTAGTCTAAAAGATTTACTCGATATTGTTAGGCCAAGCGGCCTTTTCACAGCAGAAGAAATCCTGGATTCCATCAAGATGCAGTCGGAAACAAAGGACATCAACCGAAAATACCGGGGGTGCATTTTGCCGAATGAGAACGTATCCATGAATGAGAAAGGGGCCAGTGTAGTTTCGGGAGAAATCAAAGACAGGCTCTTTGATGGTTTAGAGAGCGGACAATACGAGAATGACTTGGGACACAGTCGTTACTTGCAAGAAGACAAAGATGGCATTACTGTGAAACTTGGCAAACATTACATAATAAATACAATCAAAATTCACCTCGGAGACAAGGACCACAGAGCTTCGTCTTATTACGTGGAGGTCTCGGTCGACAAAAACGAGTGGGTTCGAGTGTGCGACTACTCCAACTACTCTTGTCGTTCCTGGCAGCTGATTCACTTCGCTCCTCGAGTCATCATGTACATCCGAGTTGTCGGGGTGCCGTACAACAGTCTGAATCGGTCGTTCCAAGTAAACAGCCTTCGTTGTTTGTTTTCAACTTCTGTTCTGGATATGAACTCAGACGGGTTTGTGTGTCCAGTGGAAAATGTAGCATCTACGAAGCAATTTGCATCAGTGGCTGAAGGTGTGAGTCGTTCCAGAAATGCCCTGATTAATGGCGACACCCAGAACTACGATTGGGACATGGGTTACACGTGCCACCAGTTGGGCTCTGGCTCTATCATTATTCAGCTCTGCCAGCCGTTCTGTATTTCATCGATGAGGATGCTGCTTTGGGATTGTGATGCAAGAGCGTACAGTTACTTCATCGAAGTTTCTAATGACCAGAAGCATTGGACGAGAATTTGTGACCGAACGAAGGAAGATTGCCGAGGATGGCAGTACGCGGCATTCGATCCCGTCGTGGCCACGTACATAAAGCTAGTCGGCTCACGAAACACAGCGAATGAGGTGTTTCACGTGGTTCATTTCGAGACACCTGCGTGTACATTTTCAAGTGAAGAGGAAAAACGAAGTCTGCTGGCCGGAGAGAATGATTTCCTGAATGTCGTGGCAAATCCAAATTTGTAAACTATATCAAAATAGAACTATTCAAAACAACTATAAATGGTTATTTTCATGATAATGAGAGTCTTATCTTGCAGATAACAAAATTTTCTCAAAATTAATAAGATATCATGTTTGTTAGCGGCCTACTTAGAATTCGAAATAAATTAAAAGTTTTTTTTTTGCTGAGCAGATGAAAAGGAGGTGCGTGAAGTTTTCACATCAAAAGAAGAAAATGAGTAGATGCACGCTTTGATATATACGCAAGTTACAAAGCGTATCAGAATATCAATTTGGGAAATGCCAGAAAAAGATACCCGCTAATGGAATTTTGACTTCACCTGGTCTCCAGGAACGATTGTCAGATATGCTGCTGATAAACTGGATACTCGTTTAGAAGTATGGTCCCGTTAAAAGCCTCGTTTAAAAGTATGGTCCAGAAAAACTACCTATGGTCCCATATAAAGGAGAGTCAGAAAAAGTTTTTTAAGTAAGTTCCTAAATTTTGCCAGTGAATTAATGTTTTGATAATTCCATTTGGTAGAAAACTTAAGTGGCAACCTTACTAGTGAAGTTGAATGAAAAATACTTTCAAGTTTCCTTTTTCTTTAATCCACTAGAAGAAATTCAAGTAAAAAAGCTCATTCATTTTTGTCAATTTTTTATCGTCATTGAAGCTGCTCATTCTTGTAATAAAAAGATCTGAGCGACAAATCGAACATAGGCATATTCGACAGCAGGGGCGGATCAAAGATTTTCGAGGGCAGGGCGGATTTTTTAAAATTTTGTCGACCTTTTTGGGGAGGAGCAAATTGATTTTCGAACTCCCAAAACACTATAGACTCAATTTTGACAAAATGTTCTGCGCCGCAGGCAAATTATAGGAAAAAAAATAAGTAAAGAATGCCTTTTTTGGGAAACTTTTTGGAAATTTTAACCAAAAAATAGCAATTAAAACTACATATTGGCGCCAAAGATGCCTTCAGAAAAATTTAAGGTTTGGTCGGCCGTAAATGGGTTTCATAAATACTACAAGGGGTGGACCCTTTGGTTTGTGATGGGGTCAAAACCCTAAGAGTAGAAACCCCCCCCCCCACCCCTGTTCCACAATCATATCAAAGTTGGCTTATAAGGAAACAATTTTTGGGAAACAGTCAGAAAAACTGTAAAAAAATTGTTAAAAAAATATATATTTTTTGTTTTTCTGACTGTTTCCTAAAAAATTTAACAATTTTTTTCCCACTGTTTTGACTGTTTCCCAAAAACGGAAAAAGCTAAAATATTAACAATAAACATTCGAAAAATTTTTGCAGAAGTGTTTTATAGGTTTTGATTCCCAAGTGGCGCTAAAAAATTCAAGTAAGTTTTCACGATTTAAATTAAGCATAAAGAAGCTATGGTAAGCTGTCTTTATTAGCTCGAAATTAGACCAAAAATTTCAAACCAGTTTTTTCTCGAAACTGAAGTATTTTTATTGTCGTTCGAATCACGACTGAAAGTGCTTTAATATGATATTCTACTCAACGCAACCGATCATTGTTTGTGGTACCTGGTTTTGCTTGGAAATCAAAATACAGGAAACAAAATTATACCACCCGAATACAAAGTTCCTCCTCCGTTTACATGATCGGACTAAAAATTATTGAAAAAAATACAAGCTCAAGCTCACTAAAATGCTGCCCAATTTGAGTGTCAGGAAAAGTGTAAGACAACTTAGTCAGCATTTTTTTTTGTCAAACCAAAAAAAACTGCTCGGATCAGGGCGAGACCCTGGATGTCCCGACTGCTCTATTAGCTATCTGAAATAATTTTTTGGTCAAAAAATGATTTCAATTTTTTAAACCCCCCCCCCCGAATTGCAATTTCAATCATAACATGATATGCTTCTGATCGGGAAACTTGTTTTATGGGCCAATTAAATTACCTCAAAGTTTATTTGTCTGAGCCAGATCTTACTGTACATGTTAATTGAAAATTCGTAAATGGCGCGCCAAAATTAACAGTTTGCTGGCCCCCAATAAACCTACACAAGACTTCTTGTAGAAAAAGAAATTTTTTTGCACCGAGTTGATTTTTCTTTGCAAAGTCAGACACCAAATAGTACTTGGGTAAAAAAAAACTTTTTGTTATATTGAAGATTTTCCGAGAAATGTTTGATTTTTAAATAATTTCCGAGAAATATTTTTGTTGATATCGAGAATCAACAGTCCGATTTCTTTTGATTTTCAAACAGTTTTGACTCTATGGAACTTCAATTAGTAAAAAGACTATATAAATGTTGTCGCTTATTGGAAATTTTTCAGTGGTTAGTTTGCAGAGCTTTGTTTTGCCAGGCCTCACACCTCTTACAAATTACCTGCATATAAAACATTTTTAAAAAAAATAGAAAAAAATATACTTGTTTGATTTATACATACTACCAGTTAAACCAGGATCAGCTTTTTGCATAAGCAGATCAGCATTCAGCTTCTTTTGTATGATTCTGTTTTAATTTTACCCTTTAATTTATCACACATGTTTCTCTGATTTTTTAGAACAGTTTTTTATGATGAATTTATCCCAGATTTCAATTTTGCTAGTAATTCAAAAAAGTGGCACTTGCTCGTGGATTAAATTGAGTAGTTGGTAAAACTAATCGGCTCATTCAGTCGAACAGCTACAGCTGCTTTTCAACCATATTTTTGACAAATTGTACACTTTTTGCATTTGTGTGGCAGAGGTGTCCTTGAGGAGGGGAGGTTACTTGTACGGCTGGTCCATAACATGCCTATCGGTACGCCTCATATTTCGCATGATCGTCTGTAGATTGAGATGCGGTGGCTTAAAGTGGAAGCTCCCGGTTGTCTTCAGAGTTAGCTTTGTAGAGTTTAGTTCGGATTCGAATTGCTTCAAGTGTTGAATTTGTTACTTCATATGTTTAAAAATCTTCGCTCTTTGTGCTTAGAAGAGTTTAATGGTCTAAAAAGTACGAGTCGATATACTTTTTCTCTGGATGGAACAGTACATAAAGGTATGAATAAACTTTAAAAGACAGATAGCGAGTAAACTGAAGTAGAACCATTTTGTATCTTTGGTGGACTCGATGTCTTTGATTTGCGCTCTTCAGATCTTCGATCATGTGTAATCGTGGATTCCGTTCATCATATCGGAGACCAACGCATGATTTTGTTGTGCAAAGAACTCTTGAAGCGCGCTCGATAGAGTTCTGTTAACTTGCATACATGTATATTTTATGATATCAGTTAGCTGTTTTAGTTTGTTCGAATGGGACGTCACCACTACAGAATATGGATATGACTTCATTGCAACTGAAGTGCTGCGCGCCTTAGAAGTTGACGTTTACGATGTGAATGGAGCTGATGTTTAGGAACCTGGAAGCAAATATTAACAGTTCAGGTCAACTGGTTCTGTTAATTCAACTAATGGAAACATTGATTGGAAAGAAATGTAATCAATTTCATGATGATAAAAAAACTTTGCATCCTATTTGCCTGTTAATTACTTGAATTGCATTTCAACTCTTTGGTTTTTAAAATTTAACAATAATTTATCTTGCGAGGAAGTGCCATTTTTCATCGAGCAAAAAATTTTTCATTAAGATATGATACTTGTAGTATAATTTTGAAAGTGTCGTAATATGATCAATATGTAACCCTATTATGCCTAGTCCGATAATATCACATTATATTCTCATGGAAATCTGTTTTCCGTTAGAAACCCAAATACGGGCTATTCGTTTTATTCGTTTAAACCCAAATACGTTTTTTATCTGTATAATTTCAAGAGAAAATATATAAGATACCTTAAAATTCCTTTTAAATTGCATCTTTTTTGAATGAATATCATAGTTCAAAACAACAAAAATTGGTCAATCGTCGATTATCATCCACCAAAACTCGGTGCGGGATAAAAGTTTCAGAAGTAAAACAGTTTCAAAATGCTGTTGTAAAATGACCTTGAGTTTCATTAAAACTCTTTTTTAATAGTTAATTGATATGTGAGGGCACCGCGACTCGTCCCATCCAGATCTTTTTTTGGAGATTTGTGTTCCACAAAATGATGCCCGGGACAAACCATCCTTTGTCAAAAATTATCAAGGATTTTACAGTTCCAGACAAAACTAACCAAAAAACTATCTGAGTAAGTATCACAGTAATTAAAAGTCAGATTTACGTCAGAAAGTTAAGTTGAAACACGGATCAAATAGATGAGTCTGCACAACTATGCAATCAACTCATACGAATTAAATTGACTTTTTTATTTGCACATATTAGACAAGCAATAACCAATGTTTCATTTTTTACATATGCTCAAAGAATGCAAGACCTGACATAGCTTCAAAACTACGGTATTAACTAGAGACATTTTTATGATACAGTCACTATTGCATTTGATTATAATCATTTCAACAATCCGGTTGATATTGAAAAAACAAAATTTCAGGACAGTTCTGTAAACTCAAGCAGTTCTTGCAGACGAGCTCTACCTGCAGATGAAACTTGCCTGGCAAAGTTATACCAACAAAGAACCTGTTACAATTTTTTTCCGAAGTTATTCCACCAGTCATTGAACCGTCAACATCTTGAATAGAGAAACACGGGACAGAATGCAGGAATCTACATATGTACTTGGCTTTGATTTGCCAGAAATGCTTAGGGCCACACACAGTGATGCGGTTTCCCTCTTTTTTGATTCTGGATCAGATGAAGCTCTGAGCCTATCTTCAATTACAACAACTCCGCTCTAAATATCCGTGTTTGATTCGATTAGTCTGAAAAACAACATTTTTGTTTACTTGCGTTCATTACTCTTTTTTAATCTTCGATTGGCTATTTTTGAGCTCATCACAATGTCGAGCAACAAGTTTCGTTATATATGTTTAGTTAATGCTCGACTCATTGATTTGAAGCAAAATTAAGTTTAATTCAAATACATTAAACACAAGAGATAAACAGAAATTTAGAACTAGGGCCAATATTGCAATTTAGATTGAGAATTAAGAATTATTATCCGTAAATGTAGATAATGGTTCCAGACATCATGCAAAATACATGTGGCTTAAACGTCATAGACTCGAGGAGAGGTTCAAGGTTGTGCAGTTGGTTTCTAGGACTTTTAACTTTCCAGATATTAGCTCCTTTGGACTTTCATTAGAGATCGGCGTCTTCGTCCATCATCTGAAAAAGACGAAAATTGACCAAATAAACAATGAAAAAGAAAGAAAACTGTTTACGATTTTAAAAATATTCTTTTTTTTGTAAATTTATTCTTTTTCTTTTTTATCGATGTCAATGCTGGTTTTTTATCGATGTTCCGTTCTTGAGTCTTAGTTTTTTTCAAAAACAAAATCATCAGATATTTTACAACTCAGTACTTTAGTATAACTATATTTAAAAATAAATACAAAATCAAAATTTTTAAAGCAAAATCTAGAAGTTGTCCGACAAGCAGCGTGGCGAAAATGTGATCAGATTTTACGTCATTTTTTACCATATGAAGAGGTCAAGTGATCCTCACCTGGAGTTCCTCCATGACGTTGTCCATGAAGTCGGTTGACTTGCCCTTGTACTCATGAGCAGCCACTATTGCGTCTTTGAATACCTAACTCAAAGAACAACACAAAAATTAAAACAACTGCTTGAAAACTTTTTCCATGGTTTCCTCAGTTTTAAGTAACAATAATTATAAATACGGTAAAAATAATATACTGAAGTCTAGGGCTAACATCCGATATATGTCGAAAATCCTATATGTAGGCAACCAAAAAAAAATCTGCATTTTAGCACTGATTCAAATTTGAAGAGAAATATTCTTAAACTTCATCAGACAGAAATATTGTTATTAATATTTTTAAAAATTTTATTGTTTTGGATTTTGCGGCTTACCAACAATCAATCAAAGCCGTGCACGCATATCTGAATTTCCAACCCTCAAAATAATTCCTCGAAACTTCATGCTAGAATTGTTGGTATAGGGAAAAAAGCCAAATGACTAGATTTGTTCACACCTTCACCACGTTGGTTCCGTCTGAGGCCGAGCAGTAGTACATCTTCATGTTGTACTTGGTCGCCATCTTGAACTCCATCTGACTCGCTTTAGGGTTGGCTGAACAAATAGAAAGAACACAATTCATCAGTAATAGAAAAATTAAATTCACTGGCACTAATTATGTCCATTAACCAATACCAGTTCACTATAACAAATTCAATAACTTCAGTCTCTGTGGTTTTCGCCAAAAAATTTAGAAGATATGTGCACTTGTTCCAGGTTTTTATTGATTCATTTCAGGTGCCAGGGCAAAAGATTTCACGTCACAAGACAAAACTCTCGTGCCAAAAATAACTGGGCCAAGAATTGGAAGAATACCATTTTGTGGAGGCCAGAAACAAATTGATAAAACAAAGTGCAACTTCAATTTCTAGGTATATGTCTTTGATCTTTTTTAGTGTTGCGGACTCCGCGCCACATTTTCTGTGCCAAAAAAAATTACGTTACCAGGTATTTTTTTGGATTTCACAGCAACTTGGTTACTGTATTTCGAGTTTTGACAAGGTTTAAGGCCTGTCTTTGGACGACTGTACAGACAACTTATGTGTGTCTCATAAAATTAGTTTATAAATTTACAGAAAAAGATTTTATGTTGTCCCGTGCCACAGGATTGCATGTCAACCAAGGAGATAAAAATTTGCCATCAGGTTAATCCTAATGTTATTAACTTTTTTTGCAATTATCATACGTCACTTTTCAAAGATAAGGAAAACCAGACCGGACAGTTTTTTATGTTTTTGTTAAATTAGATTTGAGATACAAAAGGGGTAAAACTCTGCCGAGACATGATTTTACCTTATTTAAGGTTTGCAAACTAATTTAAACCTCGTAGCAGCATGAAAATAGTAGAGAGCGTTAATAACCACCTGAAGAATACAGACGGAAGTTCTAAACTGTTTAAAAATATTATGTGTCGGAACATTTATGTGCTACTCGCACAGTAACCAGCTATCTGTGTTCTGATTTGAATTTTGAATTAGTTTACTTAGGAAAGAGACAAAAAGACAAAAAAAACTTGTACTCCTGAAATTTATGACAAAACTTCAATTTGAAAGAACTCAAGAAAATGCACAAAAAATTTATTAATGGCTAATGATTGAAGCATTTTTATGCAAAAACCTTGTTTTAAAATTAGTGCCATTGTTTGAGGAAATAATTTTTGCTTACTGAGCAATTTTTATACTGTTTCCTTGATTAGAACATCATTTTTTTAACCAATAGTGTGTTAATCCTTTGATAAGTTAATTTTTTTTGTTTTAATTTATTTTAACCTTTTTTGTCATTGTTCCGACCACTTCACGCAGTGTGGAAAAACTATGACGTCGAGACGTTTTTGTCCAGCTGATTTGAGTACCTCTAGGGGAACTCGTAGGGTGTTGCAGAGCAAATGTGAGCGAGAGTATAATGCATAAGAACTAATTTGAATATGATTGCAAAAAAATCCGTTGACAAAAGATCAGTAGCCTAGAGTATATAGAGTGCGCTCAGGTTGGCCTGGAGCGGGTTCGAGCCCTCCTAGAACCAATCTTTATACCATACAACATAAAACAAGGGACTTGTGCCCCAGTTCACCGTTTTTAACCGTTTTTTTTTTGCTGTAATTGGGTTCAACCTTGCTTAAGGCTGGCCGTCGAAAACAGCAATTTGTCTCACGGACAATCGCCGTTTGTTTTGGCTAGCTTGCGTCAATTTATCATTTGAATTGGTGTCGAATGAGTTAATGTTATGAATGCGGTTTATATGAGATTTCGATTTGTTTTTGGATTAACGACAATGAATGTTTGTATTCTCCCGGGTCGAGGTGCTCACTTTAAGTTTCGGCTTTCAAAGTCAAGCACATGTAATTTCTCGACCGAAAAAGGACAGTCGAGACAGAGGTTTTACAGAGGAATATTACCGATTGTTCCGCGGTAATTCGGAGTCGAAAGAATTTTTTTTTTCAAATATCAGGTTTTTTTTTCACACTTTGGACCCAAATTTCAAACCAATTTTCCAAATGAGGGTAACAAAAATACTTGAAATTAGTTCATCCCTACAAAAAAGTCAAATTGCAAATGATTCCAATAATTTCATTCTGATAAAAAAGCAACATAAGACTTTACCCGAAAAGCATAAACTTTAACGTTCAAATATGGATAACTCATGTTGCTTGGAAGTCAAACATATCCGAAGTCGCCGGGCAAGCACGGTCGAAACATATCTTCCTTGGGTCGAACACGATAGAGCCCATTTTTTTGGTCGGGCACGTTCGAAGCATATCGTGCTTGGGTCGAGCACATTTTTTTGATCGAGCACTTTGAAACATACCGTGTTTGTGTCGAGCATTTTGTTTTGGTCGAGAACGATCAAAACTTACCGATTTTGGTCGAGCACTGTCAAAACATACCAAATGTTGGTCGAGACGGTCGAAAAATAAAGAGAGCACCTCGAACCGGGTACCGAGAATACGAGTAAAACTTTATATTGCAAGTTTACGGAGACTGAGCGCACTTAGGGGATCAAGCGTTTCAATTAAGCCCTTTCAGTAGTGATTCAGATTTTTAAAGCATAACCAAAAAAATTGTGTCTAAAAATATGCGATTTTTTCTGATTTCTAGAAAAATGATTTTTTTTTTCTGACTGCAAATTTCAGACTGCATACCCAATTCAAATCATCTTTTTTCATTCTATTATATTTTAATAAATAATTTAGTCTCCTCATTAAATAAGAAAATCAAAGTCAGAAAACTTTAGAATTTTTTTTCGAATATTTTCTTTTTTCTCATTTCTATTTTTGTTATAAATATTCGTGTCGACGAAAAAATCTGTGCTACTTGCATAGCAATTGACTCTCTTTGTTTAAATATGGAACCCTTTGCACACCATATGATCTTTTGAGGCGAGGAATGTAGTCTAGAGGTATATATGGGAGTCGGATATTATCAATGAGGATCTTGAAGTAAGGGATATGTTGTCATTTACCCTTCATGTTTGCAAAATGCACCAGATGCCTTAGCGGGTTACCACAGGGCGAAATCGTTAACAAGATAGAAGATGATGCATGAAATGTTACCGTCTATTTTGTTGGCGACTAGCAGCACTGGGATTTCTGGTCTATACTGGCGTAGCTCGTCGTGCCACATCTGCAGGTTCTTGTAAGTCACTTTTCGCAGCACATCAAACACCTACAAGCAAAATCAAAACAAAGTATGATTTGAAGTTTAAATCATACTTTATAATCATTCTTATAATCATCCGCAGTTGCAAATCGAAAAAGCTGCTGATTTGCAACTGTCGAAAAAGATCCTACTGCGCATAACCCATGCTCTAAAGGTCAGATGCCGTAAACACCTTAAATTATTAGCTTGCATTCTTGCATCTTCGGAAAGTTAAACAGGGGCGTATCTTTTCTCGCTTTGCTAGTGTCAAGAAAAAATCAATATTATTGACTTTTTCTACGTCTTCAAAAAAACCCTTTACTGAGCTCTCTTAAAGCACTATGTTTTTTGCTAAGAGTTTTTGCACAGCGGTCAAGTTTTCCAGAGTTTTTGCTATAAGTGCAGTTTTTAACAAACGAGATCTTTTGATTCTTGACCAAAAAATGTCTGCAGTAAATTTTTTTTCAGCGTATGCCGACAGAAATTGGTAACGTGACAAATTACGTGAAAGAGTTAAAATTCGCTCTTGAAATAAAATTCGTGGGTAATAGGGTGAAATTATAGTGGGGGTTCCTTGTTACGGTGTGATAAAAAGGAGGTCCAAAATAAGGGAGTTAAATAACATTGGGTTAAGGAGTATAGGATACCATATGTTCATCAAATGGGCATAGTTCCATTTTACTCAATCTAGCATGTGTAAGTATGGTGAATGTATAAGAGTGTTCGTATTACCATAATGCAGGCGTGTGCTTGGAAGTAGTAGGATGAGTGCATGCTGTTGAATCTCTCTTGGCCTGCAGTGTCCCAGAAGTCTATAAACAACACACGCATTGAATGATTGAAGGTTGAATCCGCAGTTTTTAATTTACGCCAAATTTAAATTACCAATGTTAAAATTTTCGAAAAAGCTGTGATTTCGAAGGTAACTTTCTAAAATCATTTCAATAATTTGAATACTTGGTAAAAAGTTGTTAAAATTTTGTTAAAATCAGTTGAAAGCATGATTTCATTCAACAAAAAGGAAATATACATATGCAGTTTTTTCATTTTGGTTAAGTGGAAATTGAAATATGTGAACTTCTGAACTCGACTTACGGATAAGCCTCTCCTCGCCGTCCAGCACGGCCTTGTGTCTGTAGAGTGTGAGGGCATATGTAGAATACTGATACTCTTTGCTAAAAAATAAAAAATAATAATTTTTCCCTTTCACATTTGAAAGTTTTTGATGAACTATTTATTGTATAAGATAAAATTACTCACTAGTCGTCAAGGTGAAATCTCTCAAACAACCTGAAGCAAAAAAGTTTGAGGCATTTTCTGAGGTTAGAAAAAACAATGTTGAAAAGGCTAGCGAGGAAATTCAGATACGGATGCTTAGTTCTCTTCCGCATTTTGGGTAATTACGAGAAACATACGACAATGTACAGTCTGTTGTATTTAAGCTGTGATTCAAGATAAACTGTAAAAACGATTCGGAAAGAAAAAAATGTTCTGATTAAAATAAAAAAACAGCAAATTGCGAAAAGAATGCAAAATTTGATGGGTCAAAATACTGTGCCCAATTTTTCATAAGCCGAAGATAGTTGGAAGTTTGTGGCAACAGTAGTTATCGATCCGGCCAAGTTTTGAAAATTGAAATCGTTTTTCGAAAAAGAACATTGAAATCGTTGAAAGAACATTGAAATGTCTATTAGCATAAGAAAAGCGCAAAAGTAAAAATAGCCGAGCTGAAAATGACTGATATTTCAGTTCTGGATATCTACAATTAACAATTTTCTAGAAGCAAACTAGGGTCTTTTTACTTATTTTGCCCACAAATCAATATTTCAAAATCTTGATCTTTTTGCTTCAATTTGCCATATTCACATCTGCTCACATTTCGGCCTTGTAGCAAAATGACTGCATTTGTATTAACCAAAACAATAAACATGAGTGTAGCGATTAGCTTGAGTGTCTATTAGCATGCGATAATTGCCTTAACTAGAAATACCTACAAACAAAAAACAAAATAGTCTAAAGTTTCAAATAGTTTTGAAAAGTACTTGTTCAACTCCGCCTTATTGAAAATTCGCCTTATTAAAAACTGCCAACTTGAGTAGACAAAAAGTGAAGTAGTGAATTTTTCTAATACATTATTTTACACGGGCATGCTAATCGACTCTAATGTTAAAAGGCTGGTCCCCCAAAAACATTAAGTGCGTTCAATGTTCTGTTCTGTGCCATTCGGAAATGAATATTACAAATTGAAAAAATTATAAATTCAGGTGAAATAAGAGGTGGAACAATCTGAGCACTACTGAGTAATAGATATAGCGTCTGATTGGAATGAATTAGAAAGCAGAAAGAGCGATCGAGTCTTCATCTGACAACAACAATTTTGCCAATTTTTTACTGATAATATGTGCTTCAATCGAACATTTAACCTAAGCTTTGGAGTAGTTCGGCTTAAACTGAATGCCGTTTTATAGTACGAAGGAAGGACCTTTAGAGTGGTAACAAGATCCCAAAAAGAAGCCGCCCTTCAATCCGTACCTGCTTGGACAAAAATTGCTGTTTACTTATGTTTAACGTTTTCCAGCGTTTCAACTTTAAGTCTATTTTCACCGAGGTGGGAAAAACGGTTGAAAAAAGTTACAGACACAAGGATTTTTCCCCTCTTCTACAAACTTGAGTGGCAAATTTGAAGAAACTAGTTAACGTTCTTCCAATTTAACATGGTGATTGAAATGATAAACATGAACACAATTTTGTTCAATTGAGCGAATATTTAAACAAAATTTGACTGTTTTTTTTATTTCTGATACTGAAAATTTGCTTTAATACTTTCATAGTACAATGAAGTTTGGCATGGTTAAAAAGGTAGAGTTAGTGAAGAAGTTTGTTTGAGGTACCCTTAATCGTAACCTTAGATGCTTAGCTCGCGTCCAGACAATTCGGCCAAAAAAAATAGCAAGAAGGCAATTCAGACAATTCAACCAAAAGTGTACAGGTAATAATGATGAAACTTAGAAAAAAAATAGAATTTCTCATTGAAGTATCTGATATTGACCACTGCAGTCGCTTCAACGTGTTGCCAGCTCGCAAACAGAGGTTAGGTCTCTATACGAAACTTAGAGCCGGTTTGGCTGCAAAGCGGTGACTCGCTTGTAGCATGCCCACAGGCTCAGATGTCTCCGACTGACTTGTCTGAGGCTTTTGGCTGATGAGTCCGAATTTCATGAGTTGAGTTTTTTTTGGCCGAAACTTCTGCTCGCCGTTTAGCCTTAATTAAACGTAAAACAACAGAATTGCACGTATCAAGGCAAAATTCTGAAGGTTTTGCCGGCTCTTTTCCAGTTTCCCACAATAGGACAGCCATAGCAAAATTTTTCAAAGCTGAAACTCAAATGTGGGTAAGGGGAGTGAAGAAGAGCCATTTTCGTTAACCTTTCAGTATTTCTATTTTTCATAGTTACGATTTTCGAAGAAAAGGATGGAATATTTATGCTCAGGAGGATTTTTCTCCTCATAAAACTCGAACTTTTAACTATACATTTCCGACGGAAGTTTTGAAATACATATGAAAGGTAAAGCTGCCTTGCGCTCCAATTTTCTAAAAAAATAAATCACGTGTGATAATTTTTTGCGAAAGTTTTGAGTGTTTTAATATTGCCAATTTGGCCAATTTGGAATAATTTATGCGCGTTGTTTTGTGCAACTAAAGCGTAACGGAAAGCAATTTGTCTTAGAAATTGTTTTAATTGAATTGAGGCTTAACATTTGGTGTATTTAATACTTTGCTATTTGCAAAACTTATTACTTTGTACTTTACATAGCGTGTAAAAGAATGATTATAAAAAAATCATTTTCTAAAATTTTTCAATTTTTTTGACCTCTTTGTCATTTTTTTAAGCAAACACTGCTCGATAAACCTTAAAAAGCAGGTGGAACGTACCCCCCTTTGATTTTTTTCTGAAATTCAATATTTGAAAGTCTATTTAAAATGACTTTTCTTGTTATAGTGTGCTTTAAAACGGGTCAGCGTGAACAGGGGAACAAAATTTTACAACATTTATAACATGCAAAATGACAGCTTTATTTTGAACAGCTTTATTTTTGACTTTACGAGGGGGGTGTGAAACTGGCAAAGAGCCATTTTTTCGCCATACCTTACATCGTAACTTCACGCATTCAGCCATAATAACACGTTATACAACAAGAAGAATTAAAAATTTGAAATGTGGTTGATGGAAAAAAAACAGGGAACTATAAAAGCCCAAAATTTAAAGTAAATTGCAAATGTTTTTTCTTATCTAGGAAGCAAGTGGAAAGAGCCAAATATAAACTGTGAAACGCAATTTTTTTGGGAAATTGTAACCTGTCATGTCTTGTTGAACTCGTGGACACTTTTTTCCTAAGTTTGCTTTTTATTTAATCAGCATTGAGAACAATTATTGGAGTTAGCGAGAAAGTTTATTGGTTCTCGTCAAAAAGTATGATCACGCCATTGCTGATGAGTCTTATTCAAAAGCTCGTTTAGAAGTGTGGTCCCACAAGACCAGTTCAAATCTACTTGAAGTATTTCAAGTGGATGAAAATAAAAAGAAAACTTGAGTTTTTAAAAGCTTTTGCTATAAAAATTTTGCGATCCAGTTTGTCAAAACTGTTTTGTTAGGTAACTGGAAACTTAATTGGCATTTGGTTTCAGCTAACTCACTTTGACTTGCCAACAGCACTGTCGCCTAGGAGGATTATTTTGAGGTAGGGGTGTTCTGCGTTGGCTGCGTCGAAGGCCTCGTTGGCCTCAGCGCCCATCTGATCATTCTTCATCTCCACCATGCTGTATGGAAATACTTTTTGTTCACGCCTACTTTATTCACACCTTTGTTCACACCTGTTCACACCTTCAAATAACAGCTGATTCTTCTGGGAAATGCAGAAAACCCGAGTTTTTTTCTTTCGCAGAAATGCAGTCTTCTTTAAAAGTTAAGTGAAAGACTACAAACTGCAAAATATCTTTTCAAAATACTCCAGATAAGTCTCTGAAACTCACTTCCAGCTTGTTTAAAATAATCGATAGAAGATATATAACAAATGAGTTATTGCACTCAAAACATTGGAATTGTAATATACCAAAATAATTCAAATACGTTTACAAAGGTATAAGAGACAAATAAATTTGATGTGTTTAACTATTAATGTATATGATATAGAAAAGAAGTATTATTTTCTCCTCGTCAAAAAAACATCACGTGCGTTTTTAAGCAATTTATGTGTTGTGCTGATGATGAAAACAGAAGATCTTTTTACAGAGCCGATGTCATTGAAAAAGTGAAACACATGTTTCTAAAATATAAGCACTTTATTTTCCTAAGCTGTTTAATTACAGCCCGAAAACTAAACGTTAATGAGGAAAATTGAATGACTTAATTGAGCTATCAGATTCAGATTAAAAATATCTCTAAGCAGCTGCATCAGACAATAAAGCGAGAAAATATAATCCTTTAAAAAACTAAATACCTGCATAAAAATGTACGGTATGCTTATGTTATGCATATGTTTTGTATACCATGGTATAATTTAAGTTAGCGAAGAAAAAGCTAAAGTTATTAAATACACGTGCAGTTATATTTGCTTGTCTTTTACTCATACAAGTTAAACTATACTGGTTTTATAATCTGAAGCCACTTTTTTTATTCAAGAGTCAACAAATATTTTTCTCTAGAAAAACAATTTTTGAACGAAGATGAGTTTTCCGAAGTCACTCAAAGAGGGGATTCAGAACTTGGAGAAGAAAACTGGAGAGAAAGCGAGCGAAATGAAAAAGGTTGGTGTTGAATAAAACAAAAACTAAAGGATTAAAAAGTCGTGAAAAACTGGTCTTGTTCAATCAAGCTGCAGTAGAACACTAAACGCAACCTATCAAGTTTTTTTGTAATTGTTGTGTTTCCTCTAATATACATCCTTTCATTGTTTACTATTATATAGTTTCGTAATTGAGTTTTCTGTTTTCTTTTTGGCTGGGTTTTGAAAATCAGTAAAAACCATGTTTGCAATTATTAGAAAATTTTCAGTAAGCAAGTGAGATTCAAAACTAGCACGCCAAGTTCTATAGCTTGCCTGGACATCTTTGACGTGTTTTTTATTTTGTTCTGTTTTTCAAAGAAAGTAAGAAATGTATAAATTCTCGGTTTGATTTTTTCTTTGAATTAATTCACACTTTTTGAAAGGTTGGCACGCTAGTTGGTCCGACTGATGTATTAAAAAGAAGGATAGCCGGTTGCTGTGCAAGTAGCACAGTATATTCCGACCATGAACATTCATGAAAAAAAATAGATTTTTAAAAAATTTTTCTTCAAATTAGCGTCGTTTTAGTGGGTTAAGTGATTCGAAAACTAGACGATCGCGTAGAAATTTATTGAATTAGGTATGTTCGACAAAATTTGTCTCAAAAAATGAATACCAAACAAAAAATTGAAAAGAAAGTTTAAAACTTTTAAAAATTGTTTCCATTTTTTCTTTAATAGTTTTATTCTTTTTTAAAGATCTTTATGGTCAAATAAACGCTGAAAGAAAAATTCAAAACTAGTTTTCTTGATGGTAAAATCAAGTCTTTTAGCCTAAATGTGTTTTTTTAAATGTTAAATTCTGTGTAACGAACTTTACTCGATTGCGTTTTTCGCTTCAAATAGAATTAAAAATCAAAAATTTTAAATAATTTCTACTTGATACAGAGAGACTTTTTTTTGGAAGATGTTAAGTGTCATTCAAATCCCACTGAAAGGGTTTTAAACTAATATACCAGTCAACTGTCTTCGAAGATTATTTGTGGTAGCTTATTTTGCGTGGAAAACAGAAAGAAACAAAAAAATTTTCACGATTTCTTGACATAAAACTGTTTCAAACTATATAAAGGACAGTCGAAGCTTTCAATGGTTCACTTTTATATGATAGCAAGTATTGCAAGCAATTACGTCATAAATGAAACGTTTTCTCGCAAATAATGAAAAAAAAACAGTTTCATTCCATGGAAACTAGTTTTGGCAGTGTCATTTAGCGCTTCCACGGCCATTTGAAAGTTTTAAAAAATCAAAGAAAATTTTGAAAAAAATCAGTACAATGTTCCCGATTTTTTCACGTTTTGTTTGTTATTCATTTCTTTGAAACAAATGTTAGCAAATGTGTTCATTTCACTTTTCTTCTACGCATTCTTATAGTTCTCGCATGCACAATAAGAGGCACTAATTAGAAAAAAAATCATACACTATTTTCATGAATGTCGTCAGAACATTTGCTACTTGCACAACCATCAGCTATACTTGTTTCTCGGAAATAAATTCAAAAATTCATCGAATAAAGCTTCAGTTTTAGCGCAACCTGAAGTTTTTCTCATAAGATGCCAGATTTATAACGTATCCGTCCTAGATTTGAAAAAAAATCAATATACTTTTTGAACTAAAAGATGAATAAAAAAGCAAGTAGTACTATATTTTTCTTTAGGTAAGCGGTGCACATTGAAAGTTTTAATTGATCAGTCAATTTTTGCACTTTAGTGACTGTTTAAAAACTGCAAGTTTTCGGAGAGTTGACGGAATAGTTCAGCCTGGGTAACTTTTTCTCCAGCCAATTTTTGACTTTCAACAAACCGGTATTGACATTGGTTTTTTTAGTATAGAATATGTTGATCCTCGAACGCGAAATTCCAATGGTTTTTAGGTGCATTTCATTAATGTAGGCATTTGAAAACTCCCAAGTAGCCAGTAATTAATGACCTCTCAATTGTTTTCATTACTTGCTATTTTATTGCACGGCATGTACAGTTTCACTGAAAGCCGAAGATTAATTATGTAGATCTCCTATATTCTTGTTTGCAACTGTTTGAAATTCATTTCAGCAACTTATGAAAATCTTTTTAAGCCTTTATAGCTATAAATGGTTTTAGTTATGAAAACCTTTTTAGTTATGAAAAAACTTGCAGGAATAATAATAGTTTTCAAAAGCAGATGAAATGCTCTATCCCTTGAAACCCTAAAAACTGTGTTTTTTGTTGGCCATATTTTGTACTTTTTGAGTCTTGATTAAGATGTTTCAAATAATTTTTCATCACTCGATTCTATGTGATGTGTTTTTGTGTTTTTTTTTAAATTTTGCATGGGTAAAAAAACAACATAAATAAGTTCATCTTTTCATGCAGTCACTATGTTTCTGTGTATAGGTGCAATTGTACGCACTGATGCTGGAGAAAATGGACGCTTCTCTGTCAACGCTGACTTCGTGTGAGCATCTGCAGCTGTCCACCAATTGCATTGAGAAGATTGCCAATCTGAACGGACTGAAGAACCTCAAGATTCTCTCGCTAGGCAGAAACAACATCAAAGCCCTCACTGGTTTGGAGGCAGTCGCCGACACCTTAGGTAAAATTGACCTTCAATTGAAAATTTCTTTGCAAAGTTATCTTTAAAATTTTTTTAACAGCTTCTGTGGTTCAAGAATTTTTGGATTTTTCCGGACGGTTAACATAAATTTTTCCACTTTTGCCAGGATTATCAAACTTCGTAATCGTAACTTTTTGACAATCTCCTATGATTTACGTTTTGATTTATTTTTTGAGATGTCTTTCGGTAAATTGACGCATACGATTTTGCAAACTTTGGTTATTTCGATCTAAACTAATCTACTTACTAGAATTATTAGAAGAGTATGAGCACTTGGTTTGTTTGTTTTAGAGCAGCTGTGGATCTCGTACAACTTGATTGAGAAACTGAAGGGCATCGGGGTGCTGAAGAAACTGGTGATCCTGTTCATCACCAATAACCTCGTCAAGTCCTGGGACGAGTTCAGCAAACTCAAGGACTGCCCCAACCTCGTCGACCTCAACTTCGTCGGCAACCCTCTGGAGGAGGAGGCGAGTGCTGCCGAGACATACAGAGACAAGGTATTAATAATAGTAATAATGATAATAATAACAATCATAACCATAATAACCATAATCATAATCATAATAATCATAATAAACTGTTTTCAGAGGCTTACAATAAAAAGTACTATTTAATAAACCAGTCTCAACCCTGAGAATGTCATCAGACCATATGGTCCGTTTTCAAACGTCTCTGTGACTAGAATTTTTTGCTAAATTTTTTTACCCCGCCTAAGTTTGTGTGAAATTGAACCCGTCGAGGTAAAAGCGAACCGAAAACGAGCAAAGTCAAAATATGCTTCATTTCCGGAGCTGTTACATAATTGTTAGATAATTATTATGTATCAGTATTTTCGGCTGGGTTAATACTGCAGCTACTCTAAACTACTCATTCTTGTTTCATGTAGTTTTTTTAAATATTTGCCGTCTATTTATTATTTTTAACAACCACGAAAAATTCGTAGATTATTTCACCCAACCGAAGTTATATGCTAGTAGTAGTTTTATAAAAACAAAATTGTTTTTAGATTGTTATTTTTAAGATTTCATCTTAATACTTAGTCCGCCAAGTTCATTTTTTTAATGTTTCAAGGTTGCGAAGATGCTGGGCAAACTGAAGAAACTCGACGGGGTTCCTATCGTCCGAGACGAAGAGTGAACACTGAAAATGATGGAAAAGTGCGGAAGAAAAAAGTAGAGCAAACAATTCCATTATACAATTAGTTTATCTTTGTTTTGTCTATTGAAATTTAATTTTTTCAATAATTTTTGCGTTTTCTGATTCGTTCAACGCTTAAAATAGAAAAAAAACGATGCATATTTGTCCAAAGTTGGAAAAACCACCCCTTTCAAGGGTTCATGCACAATCCCAATTTATTTCAAAAAGAAATTTTCAACAATTTTCATTTTCAGTCTTAATGTATAGTTTTATGGCGCTCTCTCAAGTGAAGTTTTTGTAAAAGAATTCTTGATTTGTAAGTCTGTTCTTGTAATGAATTCACTTGGAATTAATCTATTACAGTTATTATAGCGCTCCTCTAAATATGTTCCTGCGTATGTATAATCGAGTTATTTTTTCAACTTTCCCGATCAATCTTCAACTGTAATTAAACGATTTAAAATAAACCATGATATGCGCTATTTCTGGTGCTGAAAAACAAGATTAATTGTTTTAACTAGTAATTGATGAAAATGTTTGCAGAGAAAAAGAGAGCTTGTTTTAAACATATTTTGCGCATATCTTGAGAGGTTTGAATGATTTTTCAATTGATTGGCTAGAAGTACCCTGCCCAAGATTGCAAAACCAGCTACTTGGGCTCTTTGCTTCGAAATTTTTAGCTTTCAATTGTTGTCCAAAATTGAAAAAGAAGGTTTTATTGGGGTCAAATTTTGTAACAAACTGGATTTTTGTCTCTTTTACATAACATTTCAAATGTCTCCTCTCAAAAGGAAAAACTAAAAAAGTAAACAAAGCAGCGTCCACCAAATGCTGTTTCAGTGATTTTGTGTCCTCATTTTTATTCAGTATTTTTCAGTTGATTTCTTTCACGCCTCTTTCCAATCGCTGCCAATTGTAACTTCGATTCGGAGAAAGGCAAATCCCAGCGCGCAGTCTCGACGGTCATCTGCATCTAGATTGTTATGCCCTCCATTTAAAATTTTTAGATTACTCGAACCACAAAAAAACTCAATTTCTTGATAACACTCACCTGTTTACCGTCTGAGTGCAACTGCTGAAACGCCATTCAAAAAAACCCAAATGTTTTACGTACAAATTCGTAATATGACTAAAGTTGTTTTTAGTAGAGACAGACATTCAAGCCACCACCCTCCATACATACAAGTCAACTCCCCAAAACTTGGGGGTAAGCGTAGAAGGGACAAGCGTGGAAGGGGCAAGCGTGAAGAGGGGTAGATGTGGGGTAAGGTAGCAGGGTACAAGTGAGGGAATGGGGTGGTAGGGTGAAAATGTTAATGTTGATTGTTAAAAGTTCGATGGATATCATTCTGCAACCAAAAAGAAAACGTGAGTAAGTTTAGAAATTACTATTTTTGCATAAAAGGGAAAAATATATAGATTATACTCTACTATAAAGCATTTTGAAGGATTTTGAATGGATGATAATTGATTTGTTTCTTCAAAACTAATAGAATATAATGGATTAGAATCAATTGCGCGGTCCCAAAATCTAATTATAATCAATCATGAGGCAAAATTTTTGAATATGAAAATCTTTTTAAGATAGTTATTAGCCATGGTTAGAAAAAAAACAATTAGTTCCTTTTTTGATTTTGAACACAAAGGTTCTCTTTAAAATGATAATAAAACTTTTTGGCAAACACTACTATTTTGAGGGCCGAATTTTGACTGAACAATTAGTTTTTTTTCATGGAATTTTAGTGCGTGTACGTTTTTGTTCTGACCATTGAAAATTTTGAAAATTTTCTCCAGTGTCGACAAAAACCAGTTCGAAATTTTTGATTTTTGGCCTGGTTTCGAGCGATTCATTGTAATTATTCGTAAAAAATCATCGTAAAAGGCGGAGTGTTATATCATATTAACACTTTTCGGCCTTTATTTATACGCCATTGAAATTTTATCAAAAAATTGCCCCATATGCTTTTTTTTTCGTCAGACCTTTTTATCAAGCGACTCGCAAAAAAAATAGTTTAAGAAAAAACATGAAAAAGCGTTTTCATATATTTTTATGAGGCTATGGTCGGAACTTTCTGTGCAATTTTCACAGCCACCAGCTACCCTTGTAGCCTATTTGCTAATTTTTGTAAATAAAATTTGGCCGAAACTAGAATTGGATCAAACTGGAACAAAACAAAAAAACTGGACCACAATTGCCCCACAATTAATCAAAGAAGCTGGACCACGACAAAATCCACAATTTCTGCATGTCAACCAATTATTTCAAAAAAAGCCATTGCACATTAGCGAACGCGGGATTTCTTATCAAAACTTAGCTATGAGAAACGGTCAGGTAAAATAATTGACATAATTGTTTTGAGCACTAGTGGTTCAGCTTTTAAAAAGAAGACATCGAGATCCCCAATGAGTTCATATCCAAATGTGCTTGTCCCCAAGGCAGCTAAAGTTTTTGCGAATGCCCTGAAGTGATTATCTTCGAGAAACAAAGGTTGCAATAGCACCAAAAGGTCTCATTGCAGAAGGTATATTTGTATCTTGCACACCCAAATCAAATATGTGTATTCTTAATTAGTACAAAAACTAACTCAGATCTGATTTACCCATAAAAATGACCGGGCGTTTGTAACAGAGATCGATTAAGAGAATTATTTCAAAGCATTAGATAGAAAAACAACAGCCATTCGTTCTCGAGAAAAATTTTTATTAGCGAGGTAGTATTTGACCCCTATTTACAATGACTGAACGATTGATGTTTGTGTTGGAATCTGAAAGATTGATTCCTTTTCATCTTGGCTCTCGGACCTTTCAGTTCAATGCAACCTTTGCATTTATCATATCTAGAAAACTGACACTTTTTTCAATTATTCGAATTGTTTTGTTTGGACAAGGGAATTTGTGCAAAAAAGCAATTGGTTGTATCATGAGATGGTTTTTCATGATTTGGAAACAGCATGGATCTTTTTTATATCATTCAAAAACTAATGTTGACCTGAGCTTAAATTTGAAAAAGAAATATATCACCTGTGATCATTTTTTTTAGTTATGGGGTTTAAAGTTTGCCATATTAACGTAAGCGGAGATTTAATCCGTCTCAGAACTTGGTCAAAATTGGTTGAAGGAAGCTTATTTGCCATAATTGATTTGTTAATAGGAGCAAAATCTACCACTTTGTACTTAATATGACGTTTGAAGGATGTTTTTGCAAAACAAATCTCAATATTAAAAAAAAAATTATTTTTATTTTATTAGATTCAAATTTACCATGTTATTACTGCTCCATGGACCTTAAAAAGCAGCCGGAACAATCAGGGCTTCGCCCTGATACGAGCAGTCTTGTTTATTTTGCTTTTAAAGAAATATCTTAGCGACGGTTATACAGCAGTATCTCGTTTGTTGAATTGAAAAAAATGGCGACTCAACAAATATTTATTTAAATTTAAAAAAAAATGAGGTAAGAAAAAAGAAATAACATAAATTAGATGTATCTATCATGTATATATAATTCATTCTAGCCAAAAAAAACTTGACCATTAATTAAAACTGCGTTCTCATTTTTATTAGATATTGCTAAGTTTATGTAATTTTATTTGAACTTCAATTAAATTGCGACTTTTTTCAATCCAAATCCGATCGAAAGTGACTTTCTAGCGTCTATCTGTGAGCTTGTCTACAAGAAGGGTAGGAGGTCAGAATAGTTCGATGTTCTTCTTGATCCAGGATTCGAAGTAGGGGACACTTGTGAAGAAACTATTGGCGGTGCAGTGTTCGATTGGGGTGACGGGTAACTTGGTCGTGTGACTGTATACCCCGTAGAGACACTGGGGTACTTGAGTACCGCAGAACATGGTGTAGATGGGGCCTCCTGAACTTTCACAGCCACCAGCTACCCTTGTAGCCTATTTGCTAATTTTATTAAATAAAATTTGGCCGAAACTAGAGTTGGATCAAACTGGAACAAAACAAAAAAACAGGACCACAATTGCCCCCACAATAAACCAAAGAAGCTGGACCACGACAAAATCCACAATTTCTGCATGTCAACCAATTATTTCAAGAAAAGCCATTGCACATTAGCGAACGCGGGATCTCTAATCAAAACTTAGCTATGAGAAACACGGTCAGGTAAAATAGTTGACATTTGTTTTGAGCACTAGTGGTTCAGCTTTTAAAAGAAGACATCGAGATCCCCAATGAGTTCATATCCAAATGTGCTTGTCCCCAAGTCAGCTAAAATTTTCGCGAATGCCCTGAAGTGATTATCTGCGAGAAACAAAGGTTGCAATAGCACCAAAAGGTCTCATTGCAGAAGGGATATTTGTATCTTGCACACCCAAATCAAATATGTGTATTCTAAATTAGTCCAAAAACTAACTCAGATCTGATTCACCCATAAAAATGACCGGGCGTTTGTAACAGAGATCGATTAAGAGAATTATTTCAAAGCATTAGATAGAAAAACAACAGCCATTCGTTCTCGAGAAAAATTTTTATTAGCGAGGTAGTATTTGACCCCTATTTACAATGACTGAACGATTGATGTTTGTGTTGGAATCTGAAAGATTGATTCCTTTTCATCTTGGAGCTGCTTTGCTCTCGGACCTTTCAGTTCAATGCAACCTTTGCATTTATCATATCTAGAAAACTGACACTTTTTTCAATTATTCGAATTGTTTTGTTTGGACAAGGGAATTTGTGCAAAAAAGCAATTGGTTGTATCATGAGATGGTTTTTCATGATTTGGAAACAGCATGGATCTTTTTTATATCATTCAAAAACTAATGTTGACCTGAGCTTAAATTTGAAAAAGAAATATATCACCTGTGATCATTTTTTTAAGTTATGGGGTTTAAAGTTTGCCATATTAACGTAAGCGGAGATTTAATCCGTCTCAGAACTTGGTCAAAATTGGTTGAAGGAAGCTTATTTGCCATAATTGATTTGTTAATAGGAGCAAAATCTACCACTTTGTACTTAACATGACGTGTGAAGGATGTTTTTGCCAAACAAATCTCAATATTAAAAAAAAATTATTTTTATTTTATTAGATTCAAATTTACCATGTTATTACTGCTCCATAGACCTTAAAAAGCAGCCGGAACAATCAGGGCTTCGCCCTGATACGAGCAGTCTTGTTTATTTTGCTTTTAAAGAAATATCTTAGCGACGGTTATACAGCAGTATCTCGTTTGTTGAGTTGAAAAAAATGAGATAAAAAAACAAATATTTATTTAAATTTAAAAAAAAATGAGGTAAGAAAAAAGAAATAACATAAATTAGATGTATCTATCATGTATATATAATTCATTCTAGCCAAAAAAACTTGACCATTAATTAAAACTGCGTTCTCATTTTTATTAGATATTGCTAAGTTTATGTAATTTTATTTGAACTTCAATTAAATTGCGACTTTTTTCAATCCAAATCCGATCGAAAGTGACTTTCTAGCGTCTATCTGTGAGCTTGTCTGCAAGAAGGGTAGGAGGTCAGAATAGTTCGATGTTCTTCTTGATCCAGGATTCGAAGTAGGGGACACTTGTGAAGAAACTATTGGCGGTGCAGTGTTCGAAGGGGGTGACGGGTAGCTTGGTCGTGTGACTGTATATCCCGTACAGACACTGGGGTACTCGAGTACCGCAGAACATGGTGTAGATGGGTCCTCCTGAGTCTCCAAAACACATGTTGCTAAGCAGAAAAAAGAGCTCTGGTTGCAGATTTAGATTGTAGAGTTTTTTATAGGTGGGGGGGGGGGGGGGGTCTAGATACTGAAAACTTCAAATGAAATACCCAAATAAGGAAACAAGCAGATAAAATCCAAATGGAGGTTTTATTGGCAACAGGTCTGTTTACCTTGAAAACGAAGAAAACAGTTTCTGTAAAACAATTGAAAACAAAAACAAGAAAAATGACTCAATTTTTTTAAATGATTTTTTCTGTTTTTTTTCAACAACTCTGGTAGGAGCATTTTGCGCTATTTTACCAGCTATTCTCGATATTGCCTAAAATGGATGGAGTTAACCTTAGCGCACATATCTGCTGTTCCTAGGACTTTCCCCATCATTTTTCACCAAAAAAAACAATTATTGAAGGAATGATTTTTTTTGCCCTAATGATACGGGAAGTTCTAGAAACAGCTGATATGCGCTTTTCATCATTTTCACCTAAAAAATCAATTATTGAACGAAATTATTGTTGTATTAGAAAATGGGTGAAAAACATGGGCTCTCATATAAAAATTATTTTTAAAGGAAACTTTGGGAAACGGAAGAATTTTTTAACACGAGAAGAAGCAAAGCTTCGCACCACTTGCGATATAGCCCAAACATTTGCATGACAATAGCAGCCAGAAATTGAGACGAAAGCCGCTCAATGTGAAGAACTTTTGAAAACGTCGAGAAAAGCTAGATCTACCAGAATTTCTTATCATATAGCTATAGGATTTTCCCACCTTTCGTAAAAAACGGAGCTGACGCAGATTAAGTCTTCTCTACAGTGCTTCATAGGTGACCTTTTGTCCTCTGTGAAGTAGGCTTCCTTCAATAACTGAGGGTAAGCAGAGGGTAATTTTGTGTCCATAGTGCCCATACCACACGACCCTAGAAGTGTGTCTGTCTCGGCCACTTCCGAACATAACGGGATCACTCGGTATTTTCCTCCGATTGGGTAGGTTAGCTTTAGAAGAGCGATGTTGTTTTTGGGAGATGCTCCGCTCACAAATCTGAAAAAAAGCCGAACACTCAGCACCTTAATCATAAGAAGTAGAGGTAGAGGTGTGTAAAAAAATATATATATTTTTAAAGGAATGCAATAAAAGGCAGGTGCTGATCTAAGATTTTCTTAAAAGAGGTGGAGGATTGTTCGACTTCTTTAGGCAGAGCACATGACCACATAGACTTACCCAACTGAACCAAAACGCATTGAAGACACCATTTTGTTAAGTTTTTTTTAACGCCGAAGGCAAATTTTTGAACGGTTTTGAACTTCGTAGACATTATGGAGTTTTTCGACCAAAAAATTGTTTTTTTTTGGTGTGCGCTTCACCCTCAATGTTAATTTGTCTTAGCCCAAGAAATTTTTGGGAAAATAAATAGAATAGCCAGTCAGTCAGTCAATAAAAAATGGATGCTCTAAAAAGTAATGAAGGGGAAGGGAAGGGGTGAGTTAATCAGTTGCTTATATCAAGCTCAGTTGCTATAACGTTTGATACCATGCCAAATGCATAATCCTACATAATTTTAAATAATGTAAATCAACTTAAAACATTGATTTAACATGGTATGCATAAGTTTTAATCCGATAAGTCATAGTGGATTTAGAACTTTTGCGAGCGCAGGGGGGATGGTTTGTAGTTGTCGTATTTTCAGTCGATCGAATGAAATTTATGAGCTCCTCTCAGTGACCACTTTCACGAAAATTTTCTGCGCTGCAAGAAAAATTGTGCTGACAATGCTGCTTCAGTAAGTTTTTTGACGGCTTCTGCCAGAAAAATTCTTTCTTCATTTATTCAGTGCGCAGTCTTCCATCAAAAGGCGTCTTGAAGAAAATTCTCCAAAGACCATAGGTCGTAAAATCGCAAAACAGCACCACCTAGGTACCTTTTCCGATTTGCAAACCAATTTCAGGAAAGTGCTGGAGTTGTTCAGGTTTCTGATTTTTTAAACTTTCTTTTATTTTCAAAAAATTTTCTTTGTAACTTTTTCCAAAACTTTTCTCAATTTAAAAGGCATTAAAACGCTTCCGAATATCTAGTTTTTTGGGAATTCAATTTACGGCTGGAAGGGCTTCAAAAATGATTCCGCACATGAACCCCTAGCTTTTTTTGAGTTGGCAAAATTGGACAGAGAAAAACCTACGCCATAGTTTCTTACTTCCACTACGTGAAGTGGTCGGAATGACAAAACATTTCAGTGTGAACAAATGAATTGATATGAACAAGTGTTATTGCATACAAATTGTTGTCTCAATTTAACGATTGGGCTTGGAAACTGGAAAAGAACCCAGTTTTGAAACTAGTGAATAATCCCTTACCCTATCGGTGCAAATTTCCTCTCCACGTAATAGAGGTCTTTCACTGAGTGTGTTCTGGTGAAATCGCCCACCTCCACTCGAATGTTTTCAGCTAAAACAGAGACACAGAGACATTTAAGTCCCGATTGACTGAGACATTTAAACTCTAAGAATTTTTAGCAGATTCAGCGAGGGGGAACTGGCGTTCCCGGGATGAGGTCTGCGACTCATGTTGCGACCGAAACGGGTCGCCGAAATGGACTTTCTGCTACCAAAATCCTTGAGTCGCATAAATTAGCACCATGGGTATCGCAAAGTCGCAACAAGGGTCGCGAAAAAACGCAAAATGGGACGCGCAAAGACTGAACATAGCTAAGACAAAAATTTCAGGTTAGATCTTTCAATTAAGAAGTCGCTTAGTTCAACATCCCCAAATAATGTTAGTACACTCAGTTATTTTTCCAGTCATCTGGAAAGAAACTTTTCAGACTCGAAAAAATTACAAAAAAAAAACAAAAATCATGAAAAAAAAACATCTATGCTGGTTAACTGATGTCCATTGAGCGCTCTTCAAGATTTTTTTGCTCAACACAGTCATGCGTCGGTCTCCGATATGAAAAACGCGACCCAGGAACACACATGATCGAAGATCTAAGAAGTTAAAATCCAAAACGACATCGAATACATCAAAAAACCCTTGGCTATACGAAGTTATTTTCTTCTTCTCACTGATCATCGAAGCAAGCTTTTTTTTGTAAAACATTGTAGCAAATTTGTCCATGCCACCCGTGCGCGAAAAAACAAGAGATGTGAAAGAACAATGATCAACGCCTCTGATTTGTTACCCATTGCAGGTCCTTTTTTCTCCTTCGTGATTCCTGTACACACTTGGCATAGTACCAGAATTTGATTTGGCGAAAGGATTCATTACTCTTGCATCGAAGTATGGCTTCTCAAATCTGTCTCCTCGATTCCGGTGGCTGAAATATGAAGACACCCTCCGTCGCCACTTATTGATGTTCTCAAAGCCAAAAACTCGCCAAATAAACGCTCTAATTGCGATTCGACTTCAAAATTAGCGCCAACTTTTGTCAACAATTCTGCTGTTATGTCTTTCACTTCATTATGCCGCATAGCTGGGAAGCCTCCAGTAGGGCAAGACAAGCAATACTCAATAGAAAAAAAATTGACCCGATTTTTTTCTATGATTTTTAACAACTCTGGCAGGAGAATTCTGCGCTATTTTACCGCCTATTCTTGGCATTATTTGAAATGAATGGAGTTAACCTTAGCGCGCATATCTGCTGTTCCTAGGCCTTTCCCCATCATTTTTCACCAAAAAATATCATAATTGAAGAAATGATTTTTTTGCTCTAACGAAATTATTGTTGTGTTAAAAAATTGGTGAAAAACATGGGCTCTCATATAAAAATTATTTCTAAAGGAAACTTTGGGAAACAGAAGAATTTTTTTACAAGAGAAGAAGCAAAGCTTCGCACCACTTGCGATACAGCCCAAACATTTGCATGACAATAGCAACCAGAAATTGAGACGAAAGCCGCTCAATAAGAAGAACTTTTGAAAACGTCGAGAAAAGCTAAATCTACCAGAATTTCTTGTCATATTTTCCCACCTTTCGTAGAAAACGGAGTTGACGCAGATTAAATCTTCTCTACAGTGCTTCATAGATGACCTTTTGTCCTCTGTGAAGTAGGCTTCCTTCAACAACTGAGGGTAAGCAGAGGGTAATTTTGTGTCCATAGTGCCAATACCACACGACCCTAGAAGTGTGTCTGTCTCGGCCACTTCCGAACATAACGGGATCACTCGGTATTTTCCTCCGATTGGGTAGGTTAGCTTCAGAAGAGCGATGTTGTTTTTTGGAGATGCTCCGCTCACAAATCTGAAAAAAAGCCGAACACTCAGCACCTTAATCATAAGAAGTAGAGGTAGAGGTGTGTAAAAAAATATATATATTTTTAAAGGAATACAATAAAAGGCAGGTGCTGATCTAAAATTTTCTTAAAAGAAGTGGAGGTTTGTTCGACTTCTTTAGGCAGACCAAAAGACCACATAGACTTACCCAACTGAACCAAAACCCATTGAAGACACCGTTTTGTTAAGTTTTTTTTTCACGCCGAAGGCAAATTTTTGAACGGTTTTCAACTTTGTAGACATTATGGAGTTTTTTGACCAAAAAATTGATTGTTTTTTTTCGGTGCGCGCTTCACCCTCAATGTTTATATATCTTGAAGCCCAAGAAGTTTCTGGGAAAATAAATAAAATTTCAGTCAGCCAGTCAGAAAAAAATCGATGCTGTAAAAGTAATGAAGGGGGAAGGTAACGGGTCAGTTACTCAGTTGCTTATATCAAACTCAGTTGCTACAACGTTTGATACCATGCCAAATGCATAATCCTACATAATTTTAAATAATGTAAATCAACTTAAACATTGATTTAACATGGTATGCATAAGTTTTAATCCGATAAGTCATAGTGGATTTAGAATTTTTGCGAGCGCAGGGGGGATGGTTTTTAGTTGTCGTATTTTCAGTCGATCGAATGAAACTTATGAGCTCCTCTCAGTGACCATTTTCACGAAAATTTTCTGCGCTGCAAGAAAAATTGTGCTGACAATGCTGCTTCAGTAAGTTTTTTGACGGCTTCTGCCAGAAAAATTGTTTCTTCATTTATTCGGTGCGCAGTCTTCCATCAAAAGGCGTCTTGAAGAAAATTCTCCAAAAACCATAGATCGTAAGATCGCAAAACAGCACCACCTAGGTACCATTTCCGATTTGCAAACCAATTTTAGGAAAGTGCTGGAGTTGTTCAGGTTTCTGATTTTTTAAACTTTCTTTTATTTTCAAAAAATTTTCTTTGTAACTTTTTCCAAAACTTTTCTCAATTTAAAAGGCATTAAAACGCTTCCGAATATCTAGTTTTTTGGGAATTCAATTTACGGCTGGAAGGGCTTCAAAAATGATTCCGCACATGAACCCCTAGCTTTTTTTGAGTTGGCAAAATTGGACAGAGAAAAACCTACGCCATAGTTTCTTACTTCCACTACGTGAAGTGGTCGGAATGACAAAACATTTCAGTGTGAACAAATGAATTGATATGAACAAGTGTTATTGCATACAAATTGTTGTCTCAATTTAACGATTGGGCTTGGAAACTGGAAAAGAACCCAGTTTTGAAACTAGTGAATAATCCCTTACCCTATCGGTGCAAATTTCCTCTCCACGTAATAGAGGTCTTTCACTGAGTGTGTTCTGGTGAAATCGCCCACCTCCACTCGAATGTTTTCAGCTAAAACAGAGACACAGAGACATTTAAGTCCCGATTGACTGAGACATTTAAACTCTAAGAATTTTTAGCAGATTCAGCGAGGGGGAACTGGCGTTCCCGGGATGAGGTCTGCGACTCATGTTGCGACCGAAACGGGTCGCCGAAATGGACTTTCTGCTACCAAAATCCTTGAGTCGCATAAATTAGCACCATGGGTATCGCAAAGTCGCAACAAGGGTCGCGAAAAAACGCAAAATGGGACGCGCAAAGACTGAACATAGCTAAGACAAAAATTTCAGGTCGGATCTTTCAATTAAGAAGTCGCTTAGTTCAACATCCCCAAATAATGTTAGTACACTCATTTATTTTTCCAGTCATCTGAAAAAAAACTTTTCAGACTCGAAAAAATTACAAAAAAAAACAAAAATCATGAAAAAAAAACATCTATGCTGGTTAACTGATGTCCATTGAGCGCTCTTCAAGATTTTTTTGCTCAACACAGTCATGCGTCGGTCTCCGATATGAAAAACGCGACCCACGAACACACATGATTGAAGATCTAAGAAGTTAAAATCCAAAACGACATCGAATACATCAAAAAACCCTTGGCTATACGAAGTTATTTTCTTCTTCTCACTGATCATCGAAGCAAGCTTTTTTTTGTAAAACATTGTAGCAAATTTGCCCATGCCACCCGTGCGCGAAAAAACAAGAGATGTGAAAGAACAATGATCAACGCCTCTGATTTGTTACCCATCGCAACTCCTTTTTTCTCCTTCGTGATTCCTGTACACACTTGGCATAGTACCAGAATTTGATTTGGCGTAAGGATTCATTACTCTTGCATCGAAGTATGGCTTCTCAAATCTGTCTCCTCGGACTCCGGTGGCTGAAATATGAAGACACCCTCCGTCGCCACTTATTGATGTTCTCAAAGCCAAAAACTCGCCAAATAAACGCTCTAATTGCGATTCGACTTCAAAATTAGCGCCAACTTTTGTCAACAATTCTGCTGTTATGTCTTTCACTTCATTATGCCGCATAGCTTGGAAGCCTCCAGTAGGGCAAGACAAGCAATACTCAATTGAGAAAAATTTTCCATAAACACAGTGAGGAGGAACATCTTTCGGCGGTCATTATATCGCAAGCACAGTGCATCCCGAAACGCCACTTTTTTTCTGGCAAAAACCATGTTCTGCAAACGGCAACGTTGTGAGGCCGTATAACGCGCCTCTTCAGAAAGCCAGTTCAAATGATCATGAGTATGGAGCACTGATAAGCGACTGCAACACAACATCTTTTGTTCTTTCGGCCGGCTGTTCGTTCTCTTTCTGTAGTTCAGTAGAATAAGTTTCTGCCTACATGTAACACTGTCGAAATCTCTTGGAGTCGTTGAAGTTCTGAGTGGCGGCTATTTCTCGATTGATGACTTTGAAACCACTCAGTCTTGTAAAAGCTGTTGCACAGATCTTTCAATATCTCCTGGTGATACTCGATCGGCCAGCATCGGCAAAAACTGCGTACTGAGTTTGCTTTCAAGCTTGGTAAAATTAACTTTAATTTCATCTTGGATCAGTCGATCACTCTCAACATGTATGTCGACTACGGAATGAAAATATGCGTTATGCGTAAGAAATGCAAAAGCACAATGTGGCTGCAACTCAGCGATGTGAGATAAACTCTCAAGTTCACTTGTCCATCCATTTGACTTTTCGAGAACATTTTGTTGGATAAATTTTTTTGCTGAGATCTTAGCTAAAAATGGGTCGCGCAAAGTCGCAGGATGGGTCACGCAATATCAAAAATATAAAAAATTTCAGAGGGTAGGCTGACGAAAAACTTCCCTAAAACGCTTTTATTCCTGGTAAATGCTTCGTCAGAAATAGTTTAAAAATTTATTTCACTTTGATGTTTGTTAATTCACGTCGTTCTGCGTTTAGTGAGCTCCGCAACAGCATTGTAAGGCATAAAGACAAAAATTATACGATACTGAATGAGCGCTTTATCTTAATTGATGTCCTTTTTGACAGCGCTTGAGGTATTCGTCTTAAGTTTCAATTTTTTAGGGCAGAAATTGGTATTTTTTGACCGTGTATTAAAATATTGAACTCAGCAATAGATAACTAACATGTTTAATTCGTTTCAACTATTGATTGACTTTCTCGACCGAATAAAATGTGCTCGACTTTGCTCGACCATGTTGCATAATTAGATTTGTTCCGGCCGTCTAAATTTTCTCGACCGATCCAAAACTGGGAAAATTGTTTCATTTAGACTTCAGGGTAACGGATCTTGATCATAGACGTTCAGGTACAGACCCGCTCAGGTGTTTCATGTAAAAACAATTGGATGTAATAACAATATATTGGACTTTCATTGTCAGTCTTAAAAAAAACTCAAACAAAAACAAACCAATAAAATCCATTTTTAATCAAATATAATCATTTATAATAGGTTATAGTTATGTTTTTTTTGTACATTATTCTAAATTTTTATAAACACAAGGCAGTATAACCGAAACTATTTTTGATTTGATACACATTGGAACAGATAAAACGAGATTCTCATAAGTTTTTTTAGTTCCTCATTTTTTTGCTGATCTCGAGAAAAAAAGGTATCATACAAATTTATAAATAGTGTCCTTGGAGAAAAAAAACTTATTATACATTTTGTTAATTGAAAAATGTTTGATAATATGACTAGAGGATTTATTATAATTGAAATTTTTAAAACTTTTAAAATTGATTGACGAACTATTCATTTCTTTTTCTGTCGCAAAAATCAATTCTATGCTCCAGCAAGCAAATTTTCCAAAAAAAACCGTAGTTCAGTACTAATTTTTTTTCACAAAAGGTGCAAATGAATGTCCATTGTGAAATCCGAATTACTTTTAAGAATTTGATTTCATATGGTAATATAAATAACGAGTCTATTAAAACAAGCAGCTATGGTTTAAACATCTGAATTTATCAAATAGACGCTTTCTTGCCAAATACAAACAGCTTTTTTCTAAAACTCTGTGTAATAATCAAAAAACCATTGATTGAGTTTTTTGGCCAACCCGGACATTTTGCGAGGTATTTTTTCTCTAAAAACTGATAATTTCAAGTTTCTGACGCGCTTTTTTAAGATTAAACTGAAAATCAATTCACTTCAACTTCAAAAGTGCTGCTTATAATCAAATAAGACTTGAAATACTTTTTGGTGTGATTTTTTGTATCTAGACAAATGTACCACCGAACAAGCTACTTTTCAAAGGATCTTAATGATCTACTGAGACTAAAGGTTACAAATGGAAAAAATATGCTTTAACTCGGATGGTGATTTGGAAGCTTTTAGTTTTTTTATTCCAGCTACGCCATTTGAAAACGAGTTTAAAATTCATATTGGAAATACACTTCGTATCGCTGATACTTATTTTGTAAAACTCAAAAAAGTTATTTTTCACATTAAACAAACAAATTTTAATTACTGGAAGTTTTTTGTTCCAGCAAAATAATTTGTAAACGAGTTCAAAAATTGAATTGGAAATACACCTCGTATACCTGATGATCGGGACCCGGGCTTAAGTTATTTAAAAAAACATTGTAGTTAACTAAATAATTCCTTATAAACCAACGAAATAGTTGAAGAAAATTTATTAAAATACCGTTTTTATAACAAATTAGCACTGTAAAGAGAGAAAAATCATTTTCAACAAACTAGTAACAAAACTTAGCGAGTCTGATTGAAAAACAGAATATTTTATTTGTGGAAAAACTCGGGTTGAGCTCACATTGAAAATTAACGATAAAAAAGTGAAAAAACAGATGAAT